GGTCCGTATGTGTTCTTTACCGAATAATATTAAAGCAATCGATTGCTTATTGTCGCTATCCTCTTGATGTTTGATATACCTCTTATTTATATCCATTATAAATCTCTTTAAAAACACAATCATAATCGAGTCTACTGGCATTTTTCAAAATCAATTACAATATAAGCATTTACTAAAATATATTTCTTATATTTTAGTAAAATCATTCAACATTCATTGCCAGTCAAATGATAATAATTACTTACTTACTTACTTGATACTTGTAGGTATCCCATTAGTAGCACGGGTGTGCCATGGTCGTCAAAGTTTTGGCCTATTCTTGATTTAAGAACTCTTCTACTGAGTAGTAAGGCCTAGTCGTTAAATATTCTTTAAACTTGGATTTGAACTTCTCCGCATCTTCAATTTCCCTTATGGCAGCTGGAATTTTATTGTAAATTCTTATGCATGTAGGTCTTGGTCCATCTCTCACTAAACTGGATGAAACTTGTGGTACATGTAACATTTCCTTCTGCCTCGTTGAATAGTTATGGATTTGTTGATTTTTTTGAAAATGTTCTGGCTTCCTTTTAACTGTCACTGCAGACTCAAGAATGAACAGAGCAGGCAGTGTGAGTATATTCAGTTGTATAAAGATTGGTTTACAATGTGATAAGTAGGGTTCTCTCGCAATTGTTCTTACTATGCGTTTTTGAAGCAAAAATATACGCTCCGCCAAGGGACTATTCCCCCAAAATATCACACCATAATTCATTATGCTATGGAAGCATCCAAAATAAACTTTCAACAGTACAGCTTGATCAACTATCAATTGCAGCCTACGTACCAAGTGACACACAGCTTTCAGTCTTGCTGCTGTGGCGTTTACTTGGTTCTGCCATTTTAAGTCACTGGTTATTGTCAGACCAAGATACTTAATAGAGTTATCTACAACGATACTAGCTGCCTCAAGGCGAAGTAGTGGTGTGCTTCCAGGCTTCTTGCGGTTGTAGAATTGTATAGCCTTAGTTTTACTCCTATTTAGTATAAGATCGTTTTCTTTACACCATCCGCTCATTTCATTTAGGCCAGTTTGTGCCTTGTCTCTTAGCCTACCCAGGTCACTGTCCTGAACTAAGTGACTCACATCATCAGCAAAGAGCCACACTTTCCCTTCAGATAAAGAGTCGGGTAAATCGTTGACATAGATCAGAAACAATACTGGTCCAAGGTTGGAGCCTTGCGGCACTCCGGTGTTTATGGCAGGGGAAATTGTAGAACGGTAGTTTCTTGTTAGTCCTTCAGAGCTTGAATGTTTTACTGATACAATCTGGTGTCGGTCCTGTAGATAGGTAGAAATCCATTGGAGTGGCTTATCTTTAATTCCAATATTTGCCAGTTTAATTTTAAGTTTACTATGGGAGAGAAGGTCAAAGGCCTTTGTCATGTCATAAAACAAGCACAGGGATTCTTCCAACACATCCAGGTTGTCATGTATTGAGACTAATAAATCAAAAATTGCATCGGTTGTTGAACTGTTTTTTCTAAATCCATATTGTTGTGGTGATAAAAGATTGTTATGTGATAAAAAAGGATTAAGTCTTTTAAGGAAAATTATTTCAAAAATCTTAGAAAATGCACTTTGGACTGCCACTGGCCTGAAGTTTTTTACTTGATCTTTCTCATCCTTTTTGTGGATAGGCACTACCTTGGATGTCTTTAGTTTACTAGGAAAAACTCCATTTTCAAAAGATTTATTTATAATTTTAGCAAGTGGTTTAGCTATTGATTCTTTGCATGACTTTAGGAGATAGCAAGGGATATCATCTACTCCAGAGCTTTTTTTAAGACTAACCTTATCTATAACCTCCTTTACCTCACTTTCAGTAGTAGGCCATAAGCGGAAATCACCCGCACCATCACCAACACCCGATATCAGAGGCTCCTCTTCGCTTGTTCCAGTCAGTTTTAATACCTCCTCTACAAAGTAATTATTAAACACATTTGCAACATTAACTGGATTAGTTATGTGCTCGTCATTCAGTTTCAAACTTAAATTAACATTATTTACAAAATTATCATCACAAGTTAAACTTCTTACTATCTGCCAAGATTCCTTGCTAACATTTTTAGCATTATCTATTTTAGAATTGTAGAACTGTTTCTTGGTACTATTTAGAAGTTTGGCATGTTGATTTTTAGCATTCAAGTATTCTGTTTTTGAATTATTACCAGGCCTATTGTTACTTCTTGTCTCCCAATACAATTGTGTTAGGTTATCTTGTGACTGTAAAACTTCTTGAGTTATCCATTTAACTTGTGAATCGTTCTTGACATTAAAAATACCCTTTGGAAAACATAATTCAAATATATACAAAAATGTTGTGTAAAACTCGTCAAAAATTAAATCCACACTTGGATTTTCGTTATCAGTTTGCCAGTCTTGAGTTGCCATAATTCTTGAAAACAGTTCCAAAGATGAGCTATTTATTTTCCTCTTCTCAATGGTTTTCTTGATAAGGCTGTGTCTCATGTCGAGATTAATTTTGAGGTACAAAATATTATGGTCAGACAGTAAGGCTGGCAGTGCCCCAGAAACATATAAGCTTTCATCCAAATTAGTAATAAAATAATCAATCTGACTAATACTTTCCTCTGTTACTCTGGTAGGGGTTTTCAAGGATACATGCAGGCCATATGAGTCTAAAACGTCATATAGACACTCTTTTTGCCATGATTCTGTCAAATTGTCCACATTTAAGTCCCCACTTAGGACTATAGGCAAATCATATTGATTTTTTATCATACTCAGAGTATCGTCTAGGATTTCAATAAAAATTAGAAAGTTTTCTTTTTGAGGTGGTCGATAAACATTTATTAAAACTATTTTATTTTTACCAGTAGTAACAGTTATCCCACAGCACTCAAAAATATTTTCCAGAGATTTAGAAGATAGGCTATTTATTTGGTTTACTTTAAGTCTGGTATCCATTAAAGAAAATATTGCCACACCACCACCTAACTTGTCTTTCCTAAAGTATTCGGCTGTTTTACAATAGTTACCTATTTTAAAAGACTTATTTTTTTCCTGGGTTAGCCACGTTTCTGTTAAGCATAAAATTTGTGGTTTCTCTTCATGCATTAAAGCTTCAAGCATCTCTACTTTATTAAAAACAGATCTTATATTAAGGTAAATAATATGTACATTGTAAGGCATAGACTCTGATCCCCTATAAAAATTAGAGCCTAATTGGTGTTTTTTGGTAAAACCCCTTGAGCATTAGGTGCATTAGGCCTAGGCCTATTTTGACTGTTGTAAATCTCAGACCCATTACTTGCCACATGAGAGTTACTTCGTTTAGATGGTAAATATTTATTTATGAGTATTCCCTCTGGCCATTTGTTGCAATCAAGCACTGAGCTATTGTACTGTTGAGGAAATCCGATTTTAAAGGACTTATAGCTAGGGTACCTTGTTTGTAGTTCCTCACAGGTTACAGTATTTCCTTCACAGATGTTTCTTACATACTCCTCTATAGCATCTTTCTTCGTGTCTGTATTAAATCTTGTGGCAAATATCCAAGACAATTTCCTAATTGCACCAATACTTCCACTTGTAGATTTAGAAGTACCAATTACAGGCCCAGAGCCTTGTCTGTTATTTCCATTTTTTGATTTCCATCTCCTATTAGTATGAACCTCAAAGCCATCACGATCTTTATTTGGAACATTTCCATCACTTGGTTTTAATGATTTAACCATATCTGAATAGCTTTTATTTCCACAATTTCGCTCGTCATTATGGACTTGTCCAATAGTCAATACTTCAATATCTGCATTTTGGCGTAGTGAGGTTATGTCACTGTTGTCATTGTCATTTCTATTGCTATTGCCATTAGGAGCAATGTTGTCAGGAGGGGTACTTTGTAATGGCGAAAGGCTGATGACGTCATCACTGCATCTTGAATTTTTCTTATTTTGTACTCTATTTCGCTTGTAATTGTTTTTACCAGCACTATATGAATCTGGCCTAGTTTCATTATTATTTGCATTAATTCTTATATCTCGAGAGGAAACTATCTTCGTTTGTACATCATTAGTAGGATTATTCTCATCAATGACGTCATTGGTTGGGCACGTCACTGTTCTCGAGCAACTAGACCTATTATATTGCTTCAATTCTGCAAGTTCACCTTGTAGATCCTTAAAATTTATTTCCATATTTCTTTGATACTCAGACATTTGCTTTTGATTGTCATATAAATTCTTAATAGAATCTGTTAGACCACTTATGTTTGTGTAGCACTCACAGCATACTTCTTTTCCTGTCCGGCTTCTCTGGAACTTTTGGTCACACGTCTTGCAAAACCATCTACTAAGATCACCTAGACTTTTTATTTTCTCATAATCATTCTTTGACATGTTAACGCATTTAATATGAAACCATTTATTACAGTATAACTCGCAATTTACGCTTAAATCTCCGTCTTTAAACAATTTAATACACAGACCGCACTTTTCATTATCATCCACCTCCGCCATCTTGATCCTCACTCCTTCAAATTCAAATATGATTGCATTAAAATTATTCTTAACCATCTTATGGGTAATAAGTTCAAGCATTGACTATACCTAAGTTATGGTATATGGTCCAAGTAAAGCAAAACCCTTCTCGGAAGTAGGATTCCGACTAAATAGCACCCTAAGCATAATTTTGTTTATGGTAGTGTTGCGTAATTAGCTAATCTGTTATGAGTTAACGCCCGCGGCGCGGCCGCAGAGGAGGCGATAATTTTGGTGGGAACTGCACTGACGTGGTTGTAGGGGTAGGGAGGGAAACGGCGGGCAGTGTGCACTCACACAAAGAGACAAATATACACACATTCTCACAAATCCCCACCACTTCTCCCACTCCTGCGCCAACAAGAACAAAAAACTTTCATGTTCTGACAGGAAAGTCTGCCCACGCCGGGCCGGTGTTCGGTGACTCACCTCTTTCAGTCGCCAGTCGGCGATCCGAGTTCATTCTGTGCTGACGACTTTCCGAGTGCGGTTGCGTCAGAAACGTTTGCTGTGCGTTTTGTGAAAATATACAGTTTTAGTGTTGTGAACACATTTTGGATACTTTGCTGAGTGTAATGTGTGTCGCGATTATTTCCAGAACTGGTAAGTAAACCTGAGTTGACCCGTATTTTTATATATAAAAAATTTACATATTTAAGAAGGACCTACAAGTAGACTACATACAATAATATCATAACTTAACTAAGTGTATTTCCGTCTGTTTTTCAAAAGAATTGGAGCAAAAATTGAACTCTATGTAGGTACGTACAAATATTGTTTGAAAAGTAGAAACAACATTTTTATTAGCGAATTTCCCCTTAATGTAGATTATATAGAGAAGTACCTACCATGATAGGTGGTACCAGGGAAAGACCCTACCGAGTCCTGGACCAATTTACTTTTCCTTTTTGATTTCCCCAGAGGCCAAAAACACTATTTGTTCAAATTGTTGGATCGGACTGCAGTGTTATCGGGTTTTAGAATTTTCCAAATTAGATTTTTGAAATTTGTACTTAAACACTTAAAACGTGCACAATTTTAATTGCAACTTGGATTATTTAGAGCTTAAACAAAAAAATATTATATTAAAGAACCCATGTACAATTACTTATGGTAAAATTTCAAAACTTTACTTAATTAAGGTAAACTTTAATTAAAGGGAAAAATAAATTTAAAATTCCCCCTATTATTTTTAGGGAGAAAAATAAAACTGATGTTTCCCTTTTTATGAATACCGGTATATTTTCATAAATTTTGACAAATTTATATCCTACCGATCCTCTATTTAATATTAACATGTTATTAAAAAAAAACTTGTTTTTCCCTCGCCGTAGCTAAAAGCTGAGTAACTTATTCGATAAAACCATATTTTATTAAATATATAATAGGTATGACTTGTTATGGAAATATTTCAGTAAAAATCCAATCAGACAAATTGAAATTTGCTTATAGTCTGCAGGTTTGCTCTGTTAGGGGTATTTTTCTCACTAAACATAAACTATAGACCTAAATAGTAAATGTTTGTTTTCAGAAAGGCCTTCCGTTCGCAAAAGGCCCCCCATGAAATCCTGTGGAGGAGGGAAGGGATCCTCAATGGCTCCTCTACTCTTCATATTTCTCACAATCACTTCGGTGAGTAAATTTTACACTGATTGTAAAATGATCAATTATTTTAAGGGTTAAACTAAATACAGTAGACTCCCACATCCGGACACCTTTTAACCGGACTACACTCGGCGGAAATTACATCTCTTAAACCGGACAATTTTTATCTGCACATTGGTTTAACTGGACTAGATCGGCAGGAAGTCGGCGGAATTCAAACGACTGTTCTCGTAGGAAAGATTTGAGACCAGTGATCACGTACGTCTAAATACAATGCTCTCTTAAATTTAAGTTGATTATCACAGTAAACGGTCTGTTTTAACGAGTTTTTGGGGACGTCGGTTTAACCGGAAAACCCATTATCCAGACCGGCCTCAGTCCCTATGGGTAAGAGGGAGTCTACTGTAAAACCTTTTTACAAATTTTTATTAGCAAAAAATTTAAATTGACTTGTGATTCTCAGATAAACTTAGAGTTAGAGTCTCTATAGTTAGAGTTTGGCTTGATAAGTGGTGGTTCTAAGTGAGGGGGGGGGGGGCTACAGGGGCTTAAGCCCGCTCCCCATTGGACTCTTGAAAAAGTTTTAAACATACATTTTCATCCTATAAACTTTACAGGTTTTTGGATAAGTTTACAGTTCTAGATGTTAAAATGGCTTTAGAATGTCACCAAACAGCTTAAAAAATTTAAAGTATTCCCCGAACTCCCTACGATAGCCTCCCCCCCTGATAAGGTCGTAGAACCGCCACCATGGGCTTAGGTCAAGATTTAACCCTTCATATGAGCCTTTGATTTTAAAACACAATCGGTGACACACAGAGTTATTTTCTGGGTGTTGGAACATTAGACAAACGATGTTTTTTTAATATAAACACAAATTATTTAATGCTGTATTAATACTAACACGTTTTGAAGCCATGTCAATAAAGTGAAGTGCAATCAATAAAGACTAATATTTATTAATATTTTTTTATATTTATACTAATATTACTAATATTTATACTAATATTTTTTTACATATTTATAAAAATAAATTATATATAAAGCTATGGTTCCTCAGACTGCGGAACTTCCGCCGTGCGGTGCGTAATTTTCCGCAGCGGAAAATTACGCAGCGTAAATCTGGAGGGGTGGTTCCACTGACTGCGGAAATAACGTTGCGGAAATTCAGTTCTGTCCAAACTAGCGACGAGTATGAAACACAAATATAAAAGGCTACCATAAATACCATAAAATAATAATATTAGGTAATATTCCAACTTAATTATTTTTAATCGTGGTTGCTTTTATTGTAAACTGATGTTAGACCTAGTTCTTAAAAATCACCTTATTAATTTTTTATGAGGATGGGGATAGTAAACATTAATAAAATAGCAATTTGAGCTTAAATTGTCGTTTGATTGATACATGAATAAAAATACAAGCCCCTAAAAGAATAAGGTTATTGAATTAATGTTGGGAAACTAAATTGATCGGTCACAATAATTAATTGATGGGTCTTCTCCGCTGGCGGACAAGACAAATTGTTGGAATCCGCACTGCCACTGCTCTCAGACCAGTATGTTTTGTCCGCCATGCGGAACCGAAAATTCGGAATGCGAAAACTCACGTCAGTAGAACCGCACACAGGGGAACTCCATTAAAGCAGTGTCGTTGTAATTCCACAGCGGAAAAATTGCACCGCACGGCGGAGATTTCGCAGTCTGTGGAACGATAGCTTAAGGATATAGCAAACAAAAACAACAACACCATCGGTGACTCATGGAGCCGGGCTCCGTGCTACGCGACTCTTCGGGCTTCAACCGATTAATCAGCGTTTTCTTGGGTAGGTGTGAGATCAAAATAATGTTCAATCAGTTCCAAGAAATATGCACGTGAGGTACTGTTATCCCCTAAAGCTGCCGGCTATCACAGATATTCCTATAAAAACAAATGTGCCCGGAGGAAAACACGGTGGTTTCACTAATGGAGGGCTAAGGGATGAAAACAAAGTCTGAAGCTCTTCTCAGTTTTCCTTGACTAACGAGTACATAAACAAAAACTAAAGTCTCTTCATAATTAATTGTCTCCATCATTTAAACTAAAGAGAGAATATTTTTTAATTTATTTTGTGTGAACTTTGTAGGATAACTCAATGAAAAGAAATATTTTGAAATGATTATATATAGTAAAATTCACTTTTCACCACCCTATGATGTTTTTGGCTGTATTACATACGTTAATTGGTGGCTGAAAGTTACGTTTTGCTGGCCATGCCAGCTGTCACCAATTTGGGGACCGAGCAGGTTTTTACAGGCCGGGGCCGCAAAATCAGCTGTCCGCTTACTTACTTAAAACATGAATGCGTTTTAAATACACAATCAAAATCCATAGCATTGCAATATAGAATTGTGTTATTGTCACCGTTGCCTAGCAACTATTTATTTATATTTTTGCTGATTCCTCAAATTATTTCTTCACATAACCTTAAAGTTGTAGTTGTGTTGACGATCAGTGTGCATTATTATAGTGGTGAATAGTGGTAATAGGGTATAGTGTGGTGAAAAATAACGTTCGTACCACGGACCGAAATGGTTTTGCAGCTCTCGATCGATAAAAACTATCTCGAGCCGGCAAAACCTCATTTTCGGCCCTAGGTACGAAATATACTATTAAAGGGGGTTGATTACACTTTTTTAGACCTCTCACATAATATAAGAATTTTGATTGGAAAATGTCTGTTTTAGGCTTCTGCTCATGGGTTTTCTCTGGAAGGCTTATCTTTTCATGTAAGTATATTTTCTTGTATATACTACAACGTTATTATTAGAATTTCCCTAGGGCACATAGATTGTGCTTATACTTGCAATTAGCCAGTAAAATGTTCAATATTTAAATTGTGGTACTGGCACTGTACTGTTTGATTATTGATTTGGTGAAAATAGCAGATTATGATGTTTAGACTACAACATTGTTGCTATTGAAGATTATATTTTAAAAATCTATACATATCATACACATACTCATTTCTACAAAAAAATTGGTTGCCATACACTGAATGTTTTAGTGTTAAGTTTCAACAATTGTTATATTTTACCAACCTAAAGTCTCATCATGTTGTACTCCTTTAATGGGGGTTTTGCTGTAGCACATTCAAACGCAGCAAGTATTTTCTCTTAACCCTTTCCACTCGTATGTCGCCGCTACCGCGACATTCACGTCTGACCGTTCCACTCGTATGTCGCGGCCGCCGCGACATTTTCAGCATCGGCTTTTTATTAATAAATCCCTTTTATATAGTGTTTGCATGTTTTGAATTTGTGTTGAATACAAACTTAATGATTTCCTTATTCATTTTACATGTCTTTGGTAGCTTGAAAAATAATTGTAAGTTTATTTAGTCAGCTGTGGATTAAAGAATAGAGAAGTGTAAATAGTAACCATGACGACCAAAATCACCAAAAAATCTAAGTTTGAAAATGCATTTTTTCATTAAAAATACACCTAATCCTTCTTGTAATGGCTGATTTGAATTGGCAACTAGATAACTAATGTCGATAAAGTGTTTTACAAATCCTGAAAATGTGTTAAAGTTTTTTAAAAAGCCTCCTAAAAAATATTTTGTACATTTTATTTTGCTTTTTTTATATTATGACCACACAAAAAATATTTTATGGGTATATTTATTTTGATATTTTGTTTTACTTGTGTACAATTTTATGCTGAATAAGAATCAAGCCCTCAAGTACAACAAATAATTTATTTTAGTCAGTATATGTACACAAAACTTAAAACATGTTTTTTTGCATGGCAATAAATGCAAGCGTATGGGACAACAAGGGGTCAACTAATCCGAGTGGAAAGGGTTAAAGACAAAGATTCGTCGTGATTGTAAGTCAAACAATTTTTACAGAGGCAGTGCGAGTCTGATCACCAGTGCGACAACGGCTTCTACTGCTACGAGGAGTCACATCTGTGTACTCGCTGTGTGGACTGCGCCTCGTACAAGCGCAGGTCGTCCTGGCGCTCTTGTCCCAAGACTCCAGCTGATTGCGGCGGATGTGAAAACAAGTAAGTGATTGGTCTTATGTTCAGGGTTGCCACCCGTCCCGAGTCTGTCCCGACAGTCTCTACTTTGATCCCTTTGCCAGTTTTTTTGTCTGTGTTAATCCTAGGGAGAGGGGGCTTGATGTATCCTGACCAAAGGTGATAATTATTCTGCTTACGTTAGACGTGCTGATGTTGAGACAATTAACCATCTTTTTTACCGATTGTTATCTTTTGCGTTTTAATCATGAAGTCTTTGTAATATGTAAAATAGACATTGCAATTTTTAGGGATGGTCAATATTGTGCTTTAGGTTCGAGATGGGAACGGATTTTTATTTCCATAATGATTTTTGGGGCAGGATTTTTCTTACCAAACAAAAAGAGACGTTTGAGTTTGTTTTTAAATCTTAAATAAAATTGATGTCATATTTCTGTGTTACACTGACTATTATAACTCATGATCCAGGCACTATTGCTATTATCTCTCAAAATCGTGTATCATCGTCAACCACCAAAGCGGCAAAACCCCTAATATCCCCTGCAAACAAGGTGGTATCATTATCGTCACCCGTAATCGTGGCTAGATCACTGTTGAAACAAATCCCATCTGTAGAAAATTAAATGTAATTCCAACAAAATATCTGGAATATATTTCCCTCAAAATTCCAGGACTCATCCATCCCTACTTATTATGTAATACAATTTTTTCCGTATCATGTCGCAGTCGTAATTTTAATTTCAATGATGACAGTCATTGTAGATTTAACTGTATTTATTCTTCTAAAAAACATACTGTAACAAAATAACATTTTGTATATTTATTCAAGACTGATTTGTCATTCATATTCAAGAGTGGGAAACGCATATGAAAGTTTGTTTTGTACAGTTACGCTGCATAATAATAGGAGGGGCATGAAAAATTCCAATTTATAAATAATACCATAGAGGAATATGTTCTTTTGTTCTCTTGGTGCACAACTCGTCTAATCTCTATGTTTGGCATTGTATGATCTGTGATCGTTCTATCACTTGTTGCAGCTATGGGGAAGAGATTCTGCACAACGGAAGAACCAGAGACATGTGCGTTCCCTCCACCCCCAACAATCTCAGCCACACCATTGGTGAGTGGATCTCTAACATTTAGTAGCACTTAGTGTACAAAGATGCCGCCAACGTCTAAAAAAAGAAAGTATTGTTTTTTTATAGGAATTATCTAAGAAATTCATTCTTGATCCATGCCAAGACATTATAGTATGAAATTTAAGGAAAATATAAATGTAGAACCTTTAGCAAAAATTAGTCGTCTCTAACTGTGAGGTCAGTATTTTGAGTAAAACACTGTTGTTATTTGATACAAAATTAAATAATAAAAATATCTAAAAAACCAGGATTTGATAGATTTTTTTCAACAATCAAAAGAAGAATAGTGTGTCTTATTTTCTAAGATAACCATACACTACTGCTATTTTGAAATGGACAAAAGTGAGTTCTGTTGATAACGTAGAATCAATTCGCTCAAATGTTTTAACCTCTTGAATGGGTTGCTGTTAATGACATGGTTAAAATTTCCAAAAAAGTGGCTCGTTTCCTAAAAAAATTTTAGTCACAGAGCTTACACGCATTTGGTGACTGGCTCACACAACTACATGTTTTTTAATTTAAAAATTGCGACAGCTGGTCCATAAAGATGGGATGTCTACTTCAGTATCCAATAGTCAATGCGTGTACACTACATGTTTTTGGTCGAGTTTTCGACCACTAGTACTAATAAATAGTAATTTTTTTACTGTTTGGATCAATTCTTAGATTATTCGTTTCATAAAATAATTATCACTTTTGTTTGTTTACAGACTTAGGTCTAACTATTTTACTGGATTTGTAAGTACAAATCTCTTATCACTTGTAGTGATTGCACCATCACTAGCTTGCACTTTGCACTTCAAATTCTTATCAGCCACATTTTTTTTCTTTAAATGAAATGCACACAGATTTTAAAACAAAAGTTTTACAAAATTACAAAACTTAAATGTTATATATACCTATCACAAACTCATTAAGAACCTCTCTATCAATAAACCAGTAACAAATTATTATAGACAAATAGTCATTGATTTTCTTTATTAGTTAGAATTTTGTAAAAATTCTATGAGCAAACCATTGAATTTGCTCATAGTCTCGAAGCCGTCCATAAAACTTAAACTTCAAATAATATAAACAGCTGATTACATTGTTGTATTTTTTAATTTTACTGTAAGTTTTTTCATTTTACTGTAATTTCCTCAATTAACTGAAAAAATCTGAAAGGTTAAAATCAAAAAGGGTTGGTTAATCACTTTGTATGTTTTTGCGGCTGGCGTTTTTAGAATTCATAATGTAATTTTGGCGTCAACCGAAGTCTCAGCCTAGTTTCTGATATCAGGGTTAAAGTTCTCGCACTTTTTTACTAGCAACACTCGGTTGATGCTTGAAAACCGGTTCTTGGGGTTAGTGCCTAAGAACCCAATTAAATTGAAAGAATAATACTTCAATCTTGCAGCTTTTGAAAACACAATATTTCATGTAAAATAGTATTTTTCTCTATTTTATGCATTTTATCTATCTATGTATCTTTATATGTATATATCAATGTATATACATTGTTATCCATGCATTTTGGTACTTGCACCCTGATGATATGTGGCATACGAAATATTTGTACAATAGAACTAACATTTGGGTGTTTATCTAATTTTTCCTTTTATTAAGTTTTTTTTAAGTGAGCAAACAAATAAATTGCTAGAGCTTTTTTGTTTTGTTTTGTGGTGTGTTTTTATTTCTTTTTTCTTCTTAAGTTTAAATTGTACAAAATGTGTTGATTTCTTTTTTAAAGTAGGCGTACATCTGAATCTTGATTTGGTATTTATAGATAGTATAGTGTAATTCTGTAGCAGCAAACAAGAACATGTTAGCTGAAGTCTTGATTTTGTATTTAATTTTGTAAATCTTTCACAAATTAATTTAATGTTTGGATTGGTTGAGGGCTAAGTTTTATTCACTATAAGTAAACTTTCCAACTAAGTAGTGATTTTGTAAACTTGAAATTATGCAGTTTTGAATTTGAAATTCATATGATACTATTCATATTATAACCCTGTCACATCATTATCACTTAGATAAAATCCATTGATTATTGGCAAGATTTGAAGCCGGGACCAATTAAGTCCCCCGCTCTACCACTAGACCATCAGCCCCGATCTAATACCTATAGCGTATAGTGGTATGTAATGTAACTCAATGAAGTTGTTTCAAGTAAGGTCAAGAAGTTGGGTAAGTATTGGTTTGGCGTTTCAGTATGACCTAATAAGTTGCCAAATTAACTATTAAGTTAAACACACTGTTTGAAGTTCCAGCTTACACAAACTGGGAAAGACTTGGCTGGGTCGCAGGAATCACAGCTTTCCTCTTACCCCTCGCCTACTACGTCTTCGCCAGGAAAAACCGTATAAGAGGTAATAACCTAAACAAGTTTTAGTTTTTATTTGTTCTTAGGTACCAATTTTGGAGATCATCCCATCTATCTATACCTACTTAATACATTAAGGGTTTTTTCTGTTGAATCCCATTTTCATCCGTCTTTCCGTCCTGTATACTTAACCAATTTTTATGACTCTATTCGGTTAAATTGGTAGATAAAACCACTGTTTCAGTTTGAATAATTTATGAACCTTTATTTTTACTTTCAGGTTAAACCTGTAGTCCGTTTTGGTATGTGGGTTTATATCCATGGTATCTACAGGCGTTGTTTGAATTTATTGGAAATTTTGATTCACTTTTAATTGAAATTTTAATTTACCCATAAAATAACGGAAAATTTTGATTTTCTCAAAAATTTCTTGAACGGTTTTGATTAAATAAATTATTGTAATCAAAATCGTTCAAGCGGTTTTTAAATGTATGTTTTAAACACATTTATGCATGTTTTTAAGTATATGTTATGATAAACTAAACAGTTTAACCCCCATTGCTGTAAATATTAAATTTTTGTGAATTTCCCTGTAAAATATCATAGTTAGATACTCCCATCGCTTGTCCATGTTGGGTTGTTGGTGGGCGAAGTTATGTCAGATTGCTGATACCGTTTATTTATGTTCAGATCGAGGCACAATCCACCACGACCTGAGAAGGGAAGAACCTCCTCCCTACAGGAGCATTGAGCTGACCACACTGTCAACAAACAACTCTGGTAAGTTTAAAATCTTTTTTTAATAATTTGATGCATGATGCAATTAATCGGTTTATAAAATATTGCATATTATTATCTGCCCCGACCAGGGTGAAGTCATGAATGCCTCCTGCCCTAACGTAGAACTAGTTGACACCTACCAAGGCAAAATGGTCAACGTCTCCAGTAAAATTGAGTACACATATCTTGTAATGGCAACATAATCTTGAATTTTTTACCCCCTCGTGCTTTCTGCAGTTGCCAAAGAATTTCTCTTCTCAAAAATCAGTTAGCTTGTACACCTTTAACGTAATTGACATGCTAATGTTACAGAGCATTGCGCGAAAACCATGACCCGTACCGACTTTTGGGGGCAAATGTTAACAATTTATTGGCTCCTCTAAGCATTAAGTTCTTATTCAAATGAAAGTTTACTTTTTTCAAATGTTTGTTTCAATTCTTTTTCTTCTTCGTGATGTTCCAGTCCAGTGAGCTGGAACCCTACTGGACTGAGGCTGTTTTAGGACTTTGTCCTCTTCAGCCAGCTAGTGTATTTATATTTTAACTCTGTATAAGCTATTTCATTTGCAACGTATAATAGTAAATATCGATTTCAGAAGAACAATTGGCTGAAGCTTACACAATGAACGTGGGACAACAGAAGGACCAGTTGGTACAGGCAGTCCCCTTCCAAAAACCGGCTTATATGGACGAAGAGTGAGTAGTTACCATGTATTCATAATTATACTGTAAATTCTATTCAAATAAATGTTGCAATAGATAGTGTCATAATTTAAGTTAGTCGCAATTTTTTTTTTTTATTAAAAGAAGTTAAATGAATTTACTACTGTGAATATCCTAAATATCTATGTTTCTTTGGTTGTGATTTTCACCTTTTATTTTTTTTATAGAGAGTACATCATAATACAGTAGAACCTTGATAACAAGTTATGGGGATCTTCAAATAATACTTGTAATCAAGGTTGACTAGTGGTTTGCAAAAACATGTGATACAGGGTAGTAAAAATATCAAGGGTGACTTGTTATCGAGGTTCCACTGTAAATGCAGACTATAGAGATCACCTGTGAATGAAATTCTACTTTGGTTATGACAATTAATTGTGTGATAAAAATATTACCAGCCACTGTTTGTTGTTAATTCATCATTCAATATGGAGTTCTTCTAGTGCGGCTAAAATTGTTGAAACGGATAAAATTGGGGGTTTCTCTTGTTAAGGGAGGCAAAAAGTAGCATACACAAATGTTATTTGGAGAATAAGAAACCAACACTTTCAGTATCTATCATCAGTGTATTAAAATGTGTTATAAAATAGTTTTTGTTAATTAAACTTTTTGTTCATTTTTCAGGTTGATGGCATTTGACAACACTCAGAATGAAAATTCTGGTAAGTTAATCTAAATCTAAGTTTAGTTATTATTAGTACCAATTAAAATGGACACAACTGAGTCTTTTTTTCAACACACATATTCACAATTTTTGAGATCGTGGGGGACGATAATGATATTCCCTTGATCATGGGAGATGTTCACGATTTCTCTGCAATCGCATACTGTATGTGACATATGATGTCTCCTCGTTCGCAGGGAAGTTCCACACTTCCACTAAGGGGTGGAGGCCGCTTCGGTTAGTTTGGCCTAGACCACAAGTACCCAGCAGTAACACAGATATATTGCTTGAAATGAGAACTCTAATTTACCCTGGTATTCCGAAAAATTTTCATTCATTACCGATTGATGTCAATAGTACTAAAACAAACTATACATATAGTTTCAAACTATCAAAAATCTATTGAAAATCCTGATAAAACTGTTAGCTGATTATGTTTTTAAAGTGTTTCCCCATTAAATATCAAGGTCATTTCCACCGTCTGTCCATGATAAGGGACGTTGACTATCTAATAGGAGAAAGTAGCAGATTGCTGATACCGTTTTTCTCTTTTTCCAGAGGATTCAGACTTTGTCACCAATGAGCATCCAGTGCCTACTGTATCCAGTGTGGAGCTGCAGGATGAGAACACCATGCCCAGTGATTGGACACCAGACGAGTAAGTGTTTTTATTGACCAAAGTTTTTCATGAATCATGCAGCTGGACGATCATTTAGATGGTTTTTAACGCTGCTAGAATTTAATTGAATCATCGTTTCAAGAGTAACTGGTATTGATATTGCGCAAACTTTTTCACTTTTCTCGTAACTTTTCTTTTTCAAACTGAATTCTAACAATCGTTTACTTTTCGCAGAAACAGCAACGGTCAGCTCATGAGCTTTGAGCTGGATTCAGAGGAGTGTGAGCCGGCCGCTAAACGTCACAAAACTAGCGAAACTCCAGACTCGGAGCCAGAACTGGACAACAACACTCACAATCTTAGCATCAACCTTTTTATCAACAACAACGTCACCATCCATAAGCCTCACTAGAGTCTTAATCAAAGCACTTGTTGTTCATGGATGCGTTTATTTACTCCATTCTTGTTTTTGATACTTAGAGTTTATTCTTAATGTTTGTTTATCGAAGCAGTTGTTCACGAATGTATTTTTAGTGCTCGTTTTAGAACCGTCAAACGTATCTTTAATCGAAACAGTAGCTGTTCACTGATGCATTTAATTGATTCTCGTTTTTTTTTAAACACAGAGCTTATACTCAATCGAGCAATAGTTGTTCACAAGTGTATTTTTTGTCTATTCTCCTTTTTTAACCACAGGGTGTGTACTTAATCAAAGCAGTAGCTGTTCATAGACGTGTTTAGTCCATTCTCGTTTTTAAACCTCAGAGCGTATATACAAACATTAGTTGTTCCTAGATGCATCTATTTAATCATCCTCATTTTAACAGCTTAAAAATAGTTCCTCACTGGTTTAGACATGATTTAGTTCGTGTTTTGTTTTTTAATTTGCCAATGTGCCTTAAGACAGCCAAAAAGACTACCAATAGAAATATATCTTCCATTAGTTTGCTTTGAAACTTGTAAATGTTGCATCAGGGTTTTGTATTTATGTAATGTTTAAGGGCTAGGTGTTTGGTACTGTATTATCTTTACGTACTATTGATTTGTGATATCGTTAAGAATAGGAATCATGACGAAGCAATGCTCTTTGTTTATCGTATTAGAGTTGCCTCGTAAACGTACCTGTTTTTAGTATTACAGAAAGTATCATTACAAGTCATTAGATAATTCTGTATTACTTACCTAGCTGTATATTCTCCTTCTTTTAAGACTGTTAAAATATTTTCTGTATTATCAATACAAAATGGTTGTGGAAACGACAGTCATTTGTGCAATACTTAAAAGTCTTTCATTTGTCTTATATTGTTAGACTGAAATTTAAATTAGCTTTTAACTCAAGCTCAACACTTTACGATTAATTTATTAAGGAACTTTTATAAGGTTGAAATTATAATTTTTATCACCGAATCCTAACCGTCATATTTTTATCTTATTACTTGATAGTTTGACTGAAAGTAAGCTACTTATCGATTTCAAAATAATCTATACTCACATTTCCGAATCTCTTCGGATACCAATCTTGTGATTTCCATTACTTTATTTGCCATTGTTTCTGCAAGAATTACTTTTACTCTTAACAAAACAGTTTACCATCCTCATGACTTTGTATATTTAATGTATTGTAAATTTAAACTGTTACAGTGAGATTTAGTATTAAGATTAGTTTGTTATTAGATATTCTTGACGCATGTCAAACGTCGCCATAGAAAGCACAGCTGAAGTAAAATGGAATGTATGGGGTTAGACAATTTTTTTAGATTTTATGGTTTTACATTTTAATGGAAACAGATAATGAAGATAATGGTTGGCGTTGGATTTGATGCTCACATTTACCAATATAATGTTCACTTTGTCAAACAAACTCATAATGGCTTTTACCAGTTCCTTGTCATGTGTTTGTTCTTAGTGAACTCAACAAAGTCAACTAGAATGATTTTGTGATTTGTTTTTTCTTTGTATATAGCCTTAAGTATTTCTTAAGGATTTGTGTTAATTTTTAATTTTTACCAATAGGTTTAACTAAGGAGTTTTTTTTATCGAAATAAAGAGTTGTTAAAATGTTTTTAGTTTTTCTTATTTACAAAACTTCTTATTTAAACTTTCTTATTTATATTTGTAATAGTTAGTATTTTCACCCCTATGATAGCTTATTGCCTGGGTAGCCAAGTGGTCAAAGCCGGCCTGGGTCGCCGGAAGACTGCCCCCCGGAAAACTACCCCCCCAAGCAGGTTCCTACGTCATATTGACGTCAGAGACTGGGGGGGTAGTTTTCCAGTCACGGACACTCAAATTTAGTTGTCAAACAGTTCTAATCTAACCTAACCTAACCAACCAAACTTCCTGTAACATTTCGATAATCGAAAATGTTTTATATTCACCATATGCATTTTCTATTATCCAACGGAATTAGTCGAATTAAAATTAAAATTACATAGCATGATTTGTCTAGGGGGGTAGTATTCCAGTCGCGGACACGGCTTCCATATTGGTTAGTTAGAAGATTTTGTGACGTCACGTTTCACCTGGGGGGGTAGTTTTCCGGGGGATAGTATTCCGCATCCCCGCCGGCCTTATAGGCACGTGAATAGCCAGCCGCACAGGGCCCCACACCTCGTGGCGGTGGTTGGGGGGGAGGGGGTTTAGGAGTGCTTGAGTGAAATACAAAAACACATAACTTGGATCCGAGGCTTTGGACTAGGGTTATAAATGTTTTTACACGTAAAACAAAAACCAAAATACCATACAAACACCAAGAGAAGAATCCATACCAAAAAACACCTCCGCCACAGCAAACCTGGAGACCAAACAGATTTTGATTTGCCTGATTAGATCTGTACAAAATACTGAAGTTCCTCAAACATGTCGGATTCATTTCCCAATTAAATAACATTAGATTTAATAATTAATTAGGTTTGCTGCTATAGATGTTTTTTTTATCAAATTGTAATATTACAGGATGAAATAAATAAATTTAACAAGTTTAATCAAAATCAATCCATAATCAGGCAAACCACAACAGTAATCTTTTTCTACAAAAGAATAACATGGGAATTTAAAATGTACACGTTTTTGGACTTAAATTTGTACAAAAATGCTTCAATATAAAAAATATTTTTTACCTCAGCCGTGGTTGTAATTAAAATTGGTAATTTTAATGTGTTGAGGGTAAAAATATTAAAAAAACATATTTTACAGATTTAAAAACCCCATAACCCCGGGGGTTCTCATTACCCGATCTAGCTGGTTCTCGAACCCGTTTAAGTTTATGCCAAATTTAATCAAAATCGGACCAAAATTACTCGAGCAATCGTGTTCATTGTTAAAAATAATTATTGTTATTTTTATCGGGTAAATGGATATTCGCTTAGTCTACAGGTTTGCTGCAGCAGGGGTAATTAAATCTCCAATCATAATTAAATATTAATCTTGACTTACAAATTTTTACGATATTTTGTGGAAACTTTCGCTTGTTTTCGATGTAACGAGTGTGTTAAGATAATTATTGTGTATCAGGTTGACACTTGGAATGATGTAATACGTTTGTCATTTTAACTACAAACCACCTGTTACATTACAAGCTTCAAATAATGTAGTATTCTGTAGTTTGTGCGGATAAAAGATCGCTGCAGGTATTAGTATATTAAGTTTTTAAGTGAACTATACAATTTATTTATTAATAGTGTTTTATATAGTATCATAAAAAATTTCTCATAAGAATTTCTTTGCTTAAAGATGGTTTTGATGGTTGGTTATTGAAACCAGCTAATTGAAAATGTATACTTTCCTAGAGTCGCTTGGCAAAGTGGCCTTCCTTGCACTGATTATAGCACAGAAAGTTGCAAATTACTGCATCTACTTACTCTTGCCGCACAGTTTTTTTTTTGCCTCAACAGCGTGCTTTTATTAGGCACGTAATACGTGTACGCTTGAAAATAAGTTGGCAGCACAAATATTACGATAACGATCAGCTGGTGCAGCGTTTCCCATTTCGTTAAATGTTCGGATTTAAGGAATCAATCTATTTTTTTGCACAGCTGCATACTTCTTCTTCCACCAAGTTAAATCTCTACAAATTTGCCTTAAAATTTTCTATTTCTTGTGACAAACTGCAATAATGGCCCATCTCCCAATCTTGTTCCAGTCTCCTTCTGATGTTTGGCATACATCCAAATGTTTCCCTTTTTCTCATCTGCTCCCAGCGCATTTGCTACTCATCTAATACGTCTCCTCTCTTCTCCTGCTTTCCGACGTAGTCCTACCTGCGGCCTTGTCTTCCAAAATCCTAATCCTTTCTTCAATGAGCAGGTTGAGTGATGGTCAAAACCCTAATCGTACCATGCGATACTCAATCTTATCTCAATCAATCTTATCAATCTTATCTTCCTAGCATCTTACCCCAGAACTCGCATCCGTAAATCATTGCTTGCTCAACACCCTTTGTACAGCACCATCAAATGCTTCCCAGTCATGTCTCTATTGGCTCTGGCCTGTCCTGCTAATTTCGTGAAGACTCCTTTAATTTTTTTCACATGTCTTTCAAAGTCATTCCTCTACCTTCTACAGACACTCCTTAATCAAGCCTGACGACATATCAATATTCATGTTTAACACAACAATGTCGTTTCCAGAATTTTTGGGACCCGCCCGTCCTACCTTCCGATATAATCAAATATTCTTTTCGGAGATGAAAAACCTGTTTGAAACTAATATAAATAAGTTCTAATCATTATTCTTGCGCACCTATCATAAATAATCATACAGAAGAATGCAGGTGCCATCCCTAACAATAGATCAAATCAGATACAAAATTATTGTTCCTTCGATATTGAAATTCTCCACTCATTAAACAATACTAGTGCACCTGTTGCTCGAATTCGAGCAATCGCAAAGTATTACAGGCGTTATTTCAAAGCAAATAACATAATTTCTGATAACTTAAAAGAGGCAACTCAAAGATAATATATAATTAATCACTCCACTCCAGTTATCAAAACTGAAAACAAACTCACTTTGAAAACAAACTCACTCTAAAAACGAACGCTCTTGTATGTATAATGTGTTTTCTATGAAAAGCTGTTTTAGTATGCAATTAATACAAATTATTTGTCTGTTTAAGTAAACAAAATTTTTCTTCATAAGAAATACTTTGGGATTTTGATGGCCTGTGGGGCAAAGCCCGAGGACTATTATTACAGGAATTGGTTAAAGGGGGTGTCTACACAAAAAATACTTAATTTTGACACACGGTTTGTAAAAATCCGTCCATTATGAACGGAGGAGTAGTGTTTCGTAGAAATCGCCTTCAAGTATTACATATGAGGATCCTGTTATTATTTATTTTCAGTAAAACATAGATCTTAAAAATCACAACAAATAGTGTAACTTGCTGTTGACCTTTTGCTGTTGATTTTTAAATTTATTGAACCTTTATAAACACGTTTTGCAGTGAAACACCAATTCCTAAACCACAAAAACAGAGTAGATTTGTATCTTTTCAACAATTCTAATAAATCCTTAAACCAACTGCTCTAAATGTTAGTGTAAATTTCAAAGTATTCATCTGTTCAAATGTAAACAAACATTTTCTCCCTAAGAATAACATGGGAACTTTGATGGCCACTGGAGCAGAGTCTTGATGAAATTTCAAACATGTTCCTTTTGATGGCAAATCTACATGCCACAACCTATCAAATCACATTAAACCGTCATCGGATGCATGGCATCTTCAAAACAATTATCAAAAATTCGTATTGGCCTATTAAATATAGATAGATAATAGGTCTACCTTTTACAGGGATGTTGAGAGTCTTAGTGTTGCTCATGGTGTTGGCAGCGGCACTAGCAGTCCCTGAAAAAGTGCCAAACGAGTCACCGGCGAAACCTCTCGAAACCTTTCTGGGAAAGTACTACGTTGTGGACTATAATAGCAAGAAATACTACAAGTTTAAGAAAAATATTGGAATAATCCCAGAAGATATTGAGGCAATGAAAAAACAGTACCTCTGGGTTATTTGGCTGGATTATAAAGATGGTGATCTTTATCTTGTGAATAAACCTTGTTCTGAAGGTAAATATGATCAGTATGAGAAGAAGATAGTATTAGGTAAAGATGAGGTGAAAGATAACAATGGGATCTCAATTACCGTCAGTAGCTCTGTAAAAGGCACTACTTTGACAATATCAAAAATAGATCCCATTACTAGTGCATCCTTAGTGACATCCAGAACATTCTCCGAAGATTATGTAAAAATCACCGAGACAGCTAAAGTGAACAAGACCATATTTGGGTATTTTCGCAAACCCAAGGAATACAAGATAGTCTTGACAGCATGGGTTGTCAAAAATGAAGGAGATGCATGCAAAAGTTGGCAGTAGGTGTGATCAATAAACACTGTTTGTTGTATGCCCTTCTTGTTATTTACCTGTAAGATGACCATGTACAAACGTGATATGAATTTAGCGGTAATATTTTGAATGATAAGTGTGAAATCACAGCTTTAGCGGGTTTATAGAACTATAGTAGTAGTAATAAAACACAAAGCATCAAGACCTTTCATTCAAAAGTATGCAGTTTGATTGGTGTACACGGCTTACGGTTTTCTCAAAAGTTCATGATCCTTTAGCTTACATATGCTAGCTTACCCTGTCGTGGCTTTTCTAACAAAAATTTTAATTAAACATATAAACACAGAGCATATACTTGTTCGAAGAAATAGTTGTTCACAAGTTTGTTTTTTATTTCATTCTCCTTTTTAAACCACAAGGGTGTATACTTCATCAACACGTTTTTCATCTTTTCTGCTAATTTCTTGACGATTCCTTTTATTTTTTAGCACATTTTCTCCACATGTTTTTCAAAAGTCGTTCCTTTACCTACAGTCACTCTTTAATCAATCCTGCCGACATAACAAGATACCTGATTAACAAGCTTCGATACACGTTACTAGGGTAATGTAAAGTACTTTTTGGGGGTATTTTGAAATTCGCCCCCACCCCCAAATAGGGGTTGCTGGGGGTAACTTAAAATTTTTTAATAGCAACCCCTATCAAGTAGCATATAATTTTAAAGGCCGTTAGGTAAAAATAATATCGGAGAAAGGTTTTTTGACAAACAAATAAATATTTTTCATCTAATCCTTTTCCCTTGCTATTAAAGCTCAACACATGTTATCTAAGGTAACATATGTTATAAATTAGATATTTGACAGAAAGTAACTTGCCTTCTGTCAAATGTCTGGTTTACAATATCCTGTCAAGAATTTACATATTGTTTATTTGTAGTTTTTAAATTCAATATACATTATGGTGAACTATTTATGATGAGTAGTGACACAAATATTCCCTCTGCGAGCTTGAAATCTTTCCTTTCAGCCAAAACAGCTGCCACTGAAGGAAGAATCACCACAAGTACAAAACTTGATGAAAAGGTTAGCTAGTGTACTTAAAAAATATAAAGACCATCCGGACTTTTATGCTATTTCATTTAATCTATTTTTACATGTACAATACACTCCAATGTCAAAAAACTAAAGTAATCAATAAAAAAAAAGAAACGTTACTAAATAAATAAATATTCTTCCCAGATTAGTTCTGGCATAGATTTGGTACTAAATAAACAAGTTGTGCTATTTGTTACCAAATCAATATGTATTGTTTACAATCTCTCATCTTATTCTCTGTTCATTAGTTTTTTGTAACAAACTACTCCCACCCAAAATTTAGTGAATGTTTTTATGGGGCTGTAATTTTTTTAAACTTTTGTTCGATGTAAAAGACTGGTGGATTATTTAGACTGTTATGCTTCTTCAGAAAAGTCCAACCATAGAAAGACATATAAAGGAGTGTGTCAAAAAAGGCATTATTATGGAGTTCAACTAACAAAGTTCAAAGAGGTGTGACATACTTTTCCGTACACATAAAACACCAATTTAATATGCCAGTTTCAAGTACGCTATACAGCGCTAAGTTTCCGAATAAGCCTCAGTTCAGAGATCTGGGTTAGCCTTCCAGGGCATCTAGATTTTACCCTAACACTCAACCGTGCATTGGTTGAGGTTTACCGCATCGGTTATCTTGAGCATCTAGTTTATCACACAGATCTCAATCAGTCTATCGAGCGGTCACTGCCCCTTCCACCGCAGTGAGCAACGTGGTGGCCTTCCATAGACACTAGCCGCCACCCCTGTTTTCGTTTGTGTGTTCAGCACACAAAATTCAGAATTGGGTTCGACACACCAAGTATGCGATAACTCCAGCTGCCAGTGTAGCGTGTGGGTTGTCACAGCCACAAGGGGCTTATTCCGCCCCACCTCTAGTCATAGTAGGCTGAGTAACCTGTCATGACCCCTATTGCTGCTACCGCAGTCACAAGTCATTCAGCTCTTAGGGATTTTGTAAAAAAATAAAATCTCGCAACTTGGCAAGGTTTGTTATATCTCTTATTGTTAGCAAAACCTCTTCCAGCCCTAACAGTCATAAAACAGCTTACTCCTCTACCCCCCAAAAACTGTGTCACAAATATTTAACATTGAGTTTTATTGCAATTTTACTAATGAAAGCATTTTAACTCACTATTAATATTGATGTTTTCACGTCTTCTGAAAATGGAAAGAAAGAAACTTCTTTGACATCTTGTTCAACAGAAAGCACTCAAAGAGAAAGCAATGAAGAAGAGATTCTACAACGATCTGAGTTATTCCAAGCTTACAATTTAGGAGTTGGTAAAGTATTTGAACCGCAAAATGTTTATATGCTATAGTAAATTTGTTTTGTTAGCCATAAGAATTAAGATTTATTATTCTAGTACACATATTGTACCATGTATTGAAAGAGTCTTTTGCTTGCAACACACATTTCCTTATGAGACAGATACGCCACCTAAGTAAGAAAACAAGATGTATACAAAAATGTAGAATCGAGTGGGATGATCTGTTTAGTGTTTACCTTTGTCATCAACATAAATAAGATCAGCTGTTTCCAGGACAGTTTACTAAAAACCAGAGCAATTGTCAGCTGGACCTAGTTACAAACCAACAAAGAGTTATAGTTCGGCCGCTTAGAAAGCGACCTCCTCCAGCATTGGTTTAGCATTAGCGCGCAGGTCGTTTTCTAAGCGGCCGAACTATAGTACTTAATTTTCTTTGGGCTTAACTGGGGGACTTTTGATAAACAAGCGAGCACCCCCACTTCCCAGTTAGGCAGATAACACTCTTGTAATTTGTCAACTTACGTGGCTAGTAAACGTAATTTCTAGATTTTTCCCGGGCAATGCACTTCAAAACGGATGCAACCGATTGGTAAGCACTGCGGATAGTCGTAGTTCTCACTAGTGCGGACGTTAATCCACACCAGGGAGTATCGCATACACAGTGCATGCCTATAAATATCCACAATTCGTGGCCTCCTAGTAGCTGGATTATAGGACGACACCACCGTCCCAGTAACAACCAACGGACTGAATACTTTTTGCACTGGAGCCTGATAATAGCACAACAATGTGCTGAAACGTTGGTCGCAGAAAAACAACTTTTTATTCTCAGGGGCCCATTTCATAATAAAGTACAAACTAATATTATTAGTAAATCAGCTGAACGCCCAATGCAAATCTTATGGAAATTACAAGTTACAAGTTGTAACTTGTAACTTGTAGTTTATTATGAAATGGGCCCCTGGACTGTAAGTACAGTAATTAAAGAATTATTAATTTATATAAGTTTTTATCTGTTTTATATAAGCTAGTAAACAAAAATATTTTTAACAATATAAAAAAATATAACTACTTTCAGCTAAAATCCCAAAAGATGAAACAGATGAAGCTTTGTATTATCGTTCAGTTAAAGACGCTAAGATAATGCCAATAAAAAGAATAGTAAATTCATTAAAGAAATCGGCGATTAATTTACAGGTATACAATTGTAACAAACTTTCCTAGATAAGATTATAATTTGTTCTCTTGTTATTTAAGCTGATGATGTCCATTACAATATGTTTGTATTGTGGGTTAAAGATTTGTCTATTGTCTATAACAAACAGATCTAACTAGTTTTATAAATATAGTTATCTAAGCAGCATTTAACCTAATTTACATCTCCTGCCATTTTATTTTGGCTGTTTATGATAACTCCCAAACAAAGATTTTAACTCCCTCCAGATTTAATAACAGATATTCTGAAAACCGTAATTAATGATAAACACTGTCTTTGAGTATTTGGTTAAACAAAAAATTTCATCCCCGTGATTAAATTGTCGCCAGTTTCAGAATAAAAATTTACGTAAAATAGAGCCACCAACAGTGATGTAAATTCCTGATTTCTTTTGGAAACATCGACTTTTTAACCAAGTCAAACAGACAGGACGACTTATTGTAAAGTTCTAAAATATAATTTTAGAACTTTACTCGATATGTTGTAAAAGGGTTATTTATCCATGTATTTAATAACAGAACAAATAGTCTGAATGTGATCTATATGATTGCGCATTTACTTCAATATCCAAAATTCAACGATCCGATCTATCATAACCATGTAATTTAGTTTACCCTGTTTTTTTACAGTATTATGGTCTGGACTGTGCACAAATGAAACCTCTAACAGAAACATTAATGGACAACAATTACGTAAAGGAACTTAATCTGAAGAATAATATTCTTAACTTGGATGCCATGTATCACCTCAAGTTGTTGTTGAAGAGGAATATTAATCTTACAACATTGAATTTGAGTCAGTGCAAGTAAGTTTATAGCAAAATCTTCTTTTAATTCGTGTGATAAGGAAGGTTGACTATTAGATTGTTTGTAACTATTTTATGGAATAATTTGTGCTAATACATCCACTAATGCATATTCAAAGATGCCTTGAAATTTGTACAACATAATTTTGAACAAATAAAAATTGAATGAATAATTTGTCAATGTTACGTTATGTTATACAGATATTAGAACAGAAGCGGGGTCATAAACATAAACAAAATACATTACTGGCCTGAATCCAGGGCCGCAAGAGGGTTTAGGTTTGTTGTGGTGCAAGAGAAAAATTCTCCCACAAGGTAGGTGGAGAGGGGCGCAAATATCACTCGGACATATTATCGCAATTATCAGTGCATCAAATGCAAACTGCAAGCCAGCCTGAATCTAATACTAGTATTGTAGCAATTGGTTTGGACGTTTTTTTACGGTTAAGTTTTGTTTAAATAATAATACTAACATGTTTTTTTATGCAGTTTTTTTTATCGTTAGTATGTGTTATATATCATCATTATAAGCCATATGATATTTTTAAGAAGACTTTACACCGAGCTGTGGCAATTAGGTTAAGTTAGATTAGTTAAGTTTGGCTTAGTTTTGTTTATTATAGGCGTCATAACAAATAAGGAAATAGGCTTCATTTAATCAAAAGACGTGTTGTACAGGAACGATGGATTTACCTCCTATCGATAACTGTTGGAAATCCATTACGTACATTACCAATGACTTTGGTTAATTAATGGACGAGAACTTAGGATTGTTGTTGATTGAGATTTGGTAAACTTAGGTGGAAGACCATTGTTGCGCCCACGTTCACTCATCCCGTTACGCCCAGAATAAGCGTACTACTAGTTTTTTATGCAGTGGTGTAATTTGCTTATTTTTATGATACGCTTCTTGATCTAATTTCCTTATGTTTTAATGAGAAATATATTTTGTCATAAGATTTATTTGGAACAACATGTGATTTATGAGATTATTACTCATAACACCATATTTGGTTTTATAAATTATAATGTTCTTAGTACAAAGAAAAAGGCGAGGGCAATGAGAAGCTATCTTGGAAATTGCGTAAATCGAATCACAGAAAGAAAACTAACATGCAATCATAATTATACAATAAATTTCTCAATAAAAAATAACATTGACTTGATAAAATTTTTATTGAATCATGAAGTTAGCTAAATACAGTAGTGACCAGTGCAAACATCACCCCTGACCAATGCAGGGCCAAATATTTACTTAGACCACTGATAAAGACACAGTGGACAGTTTGGCTTAGTGACTCATATCACAGTTTATAAGTAACCATAGTTATGGAAGTCTATATTGTCCTCTCTGTCGGTTTAGTCCTCCTGTACGTTATCACTGTTACGTACTTATATGGTCTATACCATTATAGTATTCATTCTGTGTATTTCTGAAGGTCAAGTGATAGTAAAGTACCATTTATGGAAGTCTTTATTTTGCTCTCTGTCTTGTTATTGGTGCTGTATGTTGTTTTAACGGTATACATATACATGCTTTACCGTCACCGCGAACAGCCTGTGTATTTCTGAAGGATAACTGAGTATCGAAGTAATGGAAGTCTATATCGTCCTCTCTGTCTTATGCGTGTTGCTGTACGTTACTTTAATGGTGTACGTATACATGTTTTACCATTACCATGAACATGCTGTGTATTTCTGAAGGATAACTGCCGAGGGTATCGAAATGCTCGGAGTTGGACTAGAGATTTGCCCTCGGCTCTCGCACGTCGACCTGAGTTACAACGAGTTCGGCGACCGAGGGATGGAAGTGTTGGCTGGCAAACTGTGTTACAACACTTCTATCACACACTTGAACGTGAGTCATAACCATCTTACTCATCTGAGTGGGATGTACCTGGCTGAGGCCATGGAGGAGAACTACACTCTAGAACATCTGGACTTGTCATGGAACCAGATATCGGAGGAACAAGGTGATTATATTGGATCTTTACAAGGGTTCGTATAAGACTAAGATGAGTGAATGAATGAGATGACAGCTTTTGTTATTTACCAAGATAACCTGGTTCTTTAGCTGGTTGTTGAAGAACAATGATTAAGACAGCTGGGTCCAGTTACACACCATTAAACAGATTTTGACTTTTCTCAGGATTAAACCTTCTGTTTTACTAAGCGAGCCCTGTACCCGATTTTGGATATTGAAGTGGACATACGATATGGACAAGCTGTTGCCAATTTTTTTACTGAAAAAGAAAATAGTTGATTGGGCCAATCACAGGTTGCGCTAGTAGTAAAAACAGAGAATTTACATAACAAGTAGTTTCTTGTTTATCGTTGACCAATAATTTAAGCACATAAAAAGCTTGTCAGGTAATTGCTTACGATGTCCCTAATTTATTATTAAGGTAAAGGCCATTGCAATCCCATTAATAGTTATCATGACATTAATAATTTGATGATGGCTATTAAGTTGATATGTAATTAGACTTACACTTCTTTTTCATACAGCATTTTCATACGTGGGAACAATTTGCTGCCTATTGATATATTTAATCTTGATATTTAAACTTTATCTGCAGCCTTTAACTAAATATTTATTTGTGCAACTAGTGAAAAAAGTGAGCAATTGACTCACTCGAGAGAAATCCTTACTCTCGAGCCGTAGGCGAGTGAGGAATGGTTTCTCGAGTGAGGCAATTGTACTTTGAACTCGAGTTGCACATTATACTTTTCCTACAGTTACCATAAAACAAATAAATTGGTGAAGAAACATAACCTATTTTTACACAGAAGTGAACTTTTAATATAACATTTAATGTGAAGTGACAAATACAACAGTACAACAGCTGACCAGCTGATTTACAGCCAGTGCTGCCAACGTATTTCGCGCGCATACGACGTTGCCTGCATGTACGCGATCACTATTTTGTGCGTTCACGTTGCAAATCTGGAGTGAGACAAAGTAATTAGAGTGAGACAATGTTGACATTGTCTCACTGATGAGCAAATTGGCCACTTTGCTTTCTCAAATCAGTGAAAGAACATGTACATTGTTAGTTAACTGTAGGAAAAGTAAGTTTTATATGTGGGGTGGTCTATTGTCTGTGGTTCTGGTTCTACCTACCTAACTATAAGCTACCTGTCAGCTGTTTAATTGTTACAATTTAGGTTGTGAAATTTCTTGGGTGGTTAAGGTTGGTGGTTTTGATGTTTTCTTTGCTTTTGCCCTCAATGAATTTCTCTACAGTAAAACTGTATTATTGAACAGCCATAACATACTACAGGATAGTTCAATTCTATCAGGATACACAATTCATCATTTTTGTCAGTAAGCTGGAAAACACCTAACACAAATTGACTCCGTATTTAGGTGTCAATACATAAAATCTTGCATTTTTGTTCAACCAAATAAACTTTACTTTGGCGTTTCAGGACTAAAGAAGTTTTTGTACTCCGCTGTTGAACACAATGAAAGCATTTTATCACTTGATCTATCTTGGAACACACTCTCCGGAGAAAAAGTAGCGAATGTCTTGAAAACGTTTATCGGACAACACAAAACGATTGAGGAGTTGAATTTATCTCATAACAGGTAATTTAAGAATATAATTTTATATAAAGGGTGATTCTACATGGCTGAAAATAGTTTCCGATGAGATTTAGTTTAAAAACATCTCCCTCGTTTAAAAAAACTAGATTTATTTTGCATGGTCTTGAAAAGTCATTTGACAAACTAGAGATTCCTAAGGTCCGATTTTTCAACTCCGAACCCACCATCACTAGCGTTTAGCTCGCCGTCACTTCTCACGTTCAGAACTATTGTACCCGTTTATGTAAAGAGTTGCTGACAAAGCATGGTTTATTTCGTTACTGAAGTAAGATAATGTATCTGAATACAGGTTCGAAAATGGGGCAGAACTTGCAAAAATAGCCAAAGGCATCAATACAGCTCAAAATCTGAAACTGCTTGACTTGAGTTTCAACGGGATGACAGCCGATACAGCTTTCATTCTTCTTACAAACTTGAGTACGAAGGCAAAACTAGAAACTCTTAGACTGGACAACGTATGGGTGAAGCCGGAATTTGAAAAGGTATGAGATTGTTAAAAGACTAAATAATTACTTTTTGTATATTACTGCAGCAAAAAGAGTTGTTTGAGTTACTTGTCTTGAGGGTCTAAAGTTGTTTACTTCCTATGTTTCACACTTAGGGAGGTGCTAAGTTAGGGTTACACCTAGATTCGTAAACAGAGTGTACGCAAAGCCTTCTAATACAAGTTCGCAGCTAGACAAAACTGCCAACGCCGCAATTGTGGCCAACTGAAACAGCTGTTGTATTAACCCTCCGAGTGTTATTTGTCGATGCTTCGACACATAACACACTTTGTGTAATGTTTTGTGTCGATGCATCGACTCACAAACACTGTTTACGGCGAAGGCTCTATGACTGACAAAATCGGATTGAACTGGATCGAGTTAGGTATCGTTTTATTTGACAGATTCAGAGCTTTCTCTAAAGGTCTGTCTCTAAGCGCTTTTCATTTTAGTTCCGAAAATATTGTAGCAGACAGCTGACGTGCGTATTTGTAAACAGCTTGGTTAACCTCGCACCGATGACTGATGTGTTTTATTACGTTTATCATTGTTTTAGTGTTAAAAATCAAAAGTAGTTATATACGTGGTGCATTATAAGAAGATTTAAGTGATTTTGAAGGGCTGGTTGATGATCCTGTAGAAGTAGGTAGTGATATTGATGTAAATTATCAGCCAGATTCCTAGCTATGGTTAGGCTATGCATTCTTAGCTAAACGCTATGTACTGAAATCTGTTTTTTGCCCATAACTTATTTATTTGCAAATCTACTTCCTTATATTATTATATATTTGTAATCCTCATAAAATTTAGAACAAAGGGGCTATTTTCAAATATTTATAGGCCTATAATTTATACAATTTCATTGAGCGCAAACTTATTTTTTTTTTGAAGAATTTCCAAAATATTTTTTTTACCTAAAAAATTTTTTGAAACAAATGTTCCTTATGTTTTATGTATAATATTGAAGCCCATGATTTTCCAAACAAAATGGTATATAGAACAGTATAATTAACATTGTTTTTAAGCTTCTCAGATCCGTTTTAATAAAACCTTGCAAATGAGCAAAAAATAGGCAGACATTAAGGCCAAAACAAGAGACACTTGGAGGGTTAATTCATAATGGAACGTCTGCGCATTATTTATGATTAAACATTTGTTATTACTGTTATTATAATAGGCTGGCCAGTGCGACATTGCCACACACCTTCACTAAACGACCTTGTAGATGTTTTTTGAAGACTCGACTTGTTTAGGATAACTGTGAAGTAATTGAGAAGGCAAAACCTTAAAAATTAAGTTAGCTGTGTATCCCTTTCCTCTTCCAAACGCTACTATTGTGATGTGACAAATCTATTATGTATTTTCCCAGCTGAGGAAGGAGCTACCAATACAAGTGATTACAGAAGGAGTGTCCGGAGGGTTTGGTGCAAAGTCCCCTGACATGCAGACCTTGCTGTTGAAGAGGGCCCACAACCTCGGAAATCTACCCAAGAAACCCAAGAACAAAAAAGACTTTGGGTACCTACAGTATATACTTTAAATGTAGGTTAGAAGCTTGTGGTTAAATAAACAACAAGATAAAGTTCCAGAAATTGCTTTACTCTAATTTTGAACCCTTATTGAATCCAAGTGAGGGTAATTAGATAAGATTTTTACAACACATGAACACTGATACAACAGAGTAGGTATTTTAAGGCGAGATGAGTTTCATGAAGTATTGGCCTCTGGATCGTTTGAACTAACTAATGAAGGTTTAAATTTCCTGGTTACTGTAAAAATGATCCCGTTTAGTTTGCAGAACAGCGCTTTCTTGATGCGAATTGAGCACATCCAGATCACAGTGTCAGCTGATACTTAAAAATTTTTGATGGTTGAGGTTGTCAGAAGTTTTATTTAAATAATGCAGTACATATGAAGCATGCGTAAATCTAAACATTTAAGAAACTGATCAACCAGACGGTTATTACTACACATGTGATATGGCACCGATGGAAAGACGTGGCTCAGATTGATAAGTTTTTTTTCAGGTGTAGTTAAAACTTCTAACTAACTCTAGGACTTTGTAAATATCAGCTGACGTTCTGACTGATGATGTGCTCAATTCCCAACATGAAACAGCTGTAGCTGTATTCATCAACTACACCGGATCGTTTTGACAGTAACCAGGTTATTCAAACCTTTATTAAAGATGAGTCTACTATGAGAGTTGAAGAGTAGACTTTGACTATATGTGAATAAAATCTCTTGTTAATTCTTTTAATTTCAGCTGGTTTCTTTTGAGGTTGCAAAACACTGGAGATATTGGGCCTGTTAAAAAATCCAAATTTGAAAAGTTGGTTGTCGAAGATAAAATTAAGTTTGACGAAGGAATGGTCAACGAGTTAGCAAAAAGGTTTAGAGACGATAATAAAAAGGTTGATCTGAATCTCATGCTTGAAAAATATTTGGAGTTGTACCCAAACACTACGCTCCCTGTGATTAAGGAAAGTAAGAAAAAGAAAGCCGCAAATGAGAATAAAAAGAAAAAAATGACTGATCAAGGAAATATTGAGGACAATTTAGAAAATGAAATACAAGAGGCTGTGGAAACTGTCGAAGAAATCAAAGAGAGTAATCTAGAAATCACAGATAATATCAATACTTCAAGTCAAAATGAAATTTACGAATTTGAAAAGAGTGATCAAGAAATCGTAGATAATATTGATAGATCAAAACAAGATGAAATGGAGGAGAAAGGATACTCTCTAAATGAAATGTCTTTAGCAGAAGAACAAGGAAGTGAAGAGAAAAAACTCAAATCAAAAATAGAGGAAGACTTGACATTAGAACTCATTGAAACAGAAAACCAAATCGTACAATCTGATATCGTTGAGACGGAACAAACAGCTTTGGAGAACGCTGTAGATGAAGGTGTAACTGAAATTGATGAACACAAAGGTGAAATAAGTGAAGAAAATACTGTGGAAATAAGTGAAGAAAATACTGTGGAAATAAGTGAAGAAAAAGAACTCGATACAGAACCATTAAAGGAAACTGAGAGTGAAGTACAAAAATGGAGAGTGGTTCGTACTTCGTAAATTAAAAAGTTATTGACAGATGTCTTAATACCATACTTAAATTTTAAGAATAATATTTACACTTTCGTTAAGTCAAAGCAGTACAAATTATGTTTAGGTTTGTAAAATATTGAAAACTAAAAATCAATAATTTATGTATTGTAGTCTATTCTTTAATAAAATTAAAATTCTCAAAAACAAGGTTTTTATCTTTCACATTTTTGGGATTTTTAAACGAAATATCACGTTCTGATATCATAGGATTCAAGTGGTTATAAAAGTTCTCTCCGTTATTGCACATTAAAAAATGATTTGATTTGCATTACAAAATCCTAAGGATATTATATTTTTTTCAAATAATTTTTTTCTTTGCACTTTGGGGCAAACTGGATACATTTATACATACATATAGACATACAATAATCGCAAGCAGTCTGGGCGTGCGGGTTTGTCTCTACTAGCCGTCCTGTGTACATTTCATTCACCCCTCCACCACCCCTAGCCATGAAGACAGCTGAACAACCCCAGAGCCGGGTGGGCCAGATGTTTTTGGAAATGAGCAATAAACACTCCCCCCTACACTAGCACGGCCGCGCGCCCAGACTAAATGCGACAACTGTACATAGGCCTACTTCTAACATTCATACCTTGAAGTAATATGTAACTTTGTTGACGATCATTTTTCATAAATAAGATCAACAAGGGTTAACTATAGCTTGTAAGTCATTAGATAACTAAATGTTTTTATTTAATTCATTTGAACATTAAAATAGTATAAAATTACCTGATTCCGTCTGTGATACTAGATTTTGTAGTGAGCAGCTACCGGATTCGAGGTTATGTTAGAACCTCAGCTTCAGGCTCTTTATGTCACTCTTGCGAGCTCGTAGAGTTTTAAAAAACACACACAGACACTAAACATTTAAATAAATAAACGCGACACAGACTGAAGGATGATTAGGTTCAACACGTGACGCAACACGGGCAGACGTTTCGTCATGACTATTTGGTTTCAATACTAATGCACGCCGAATGTACTTCATCTTGGGTCAAAAGTAATAGACACATTTTTAACAACAGTTTTATTAAGGCATTGACCAAAGCACAGGATACGATTATCAACCTAAACACTATAATTATATAAATGATAATAATATAACTGTTAATCTACAATGAATAAACATTAACAAGCAACATTTTACAACTTTAAACATTTACTAAAATATTAACTTTGATTGCACGTTACACTAGACCACCTCTTAACCCACCACAGATCAGGTCTATGTTGGATAACCTCGGTACCTCGGACAACTATGTAAGCATGTAAAATACTGTAGGAACAAAATGTATATATTTTTCTAGGACGCTAGGACTCTAGACTGGCATTGTTTTTCACATTACTTCAGGCCAGACGTAGGGGTTGCGACATAATCAATCAATCAATCAATTTCAATTTATCAATTATTTAAGATGGGGACGCCACTATGTGCGTATTTTAACCCAAATATGAGTGAAGGATGAGTGTAAGATGAGTGGCGCGATCTTGTTGTCTTGTTAGTGACTAAGGCCGACATGTTCCTTAGACACAGCTGTTAATTAATAGCCCATACAGCTAATGGCAACTAAGGGACCTACAGTTTATAGTGGAATCCGAACCACATTTTTTCCTTGTAATTTACGAATTGGTCTAATTATCAGGATAGTACTGCGGATAGTCGTAGTACTCACTAGTGCGGACGTTAATCCACACAAGGGAGCATCGCATCCACAGTGTATCCCTATAAATATCCACAATCCATTGGTGACTTGGCGGGATTTGAACCAGGGACCTCAGGGACACAAGTCTCACCCCAGCTCGAACCCCCGTATTATTGATATTATCAGGTGCTTATTGAAAAAATGTACCTTTGACTCATCACATTGAAAATTGAGGTGATTTTTTTCTGCTTTCGTATCCTTGTGTGAGTACTGCCTAGTAAAAAAATAAACCTGCACAAACTTGATTCTATTTCAAGACAGCAATACGGATCAGAACAGGGATCTCATGATTCTTAGAAAAAGTCAGTTTAAACCAAAAAAACTTAAAATTAGTGGATAAATCAAACTTGATCCATGATTGGTTCAGAGATGGCTTACTGCATGAACATATATTTAATTTTAAGTACAGCAAGGCTCGTATTAGTTGCCTGTAACCACCTCACAAACTATTAAGTTTCTAACAAACAGAGCGAACAACTTCATGTTGACAGCGCTTGATTACTATTTTGACATAAGTAAATAGCCTACGTAAATTTTGCAAGAATACATTATATATTTAATTACAAACAAATGTTGTGTGATTGTTGCTTAAGTCCCGTAAACTCATCACCTTATTACTAATCCACTTGGTTTGATGTATGAAAGAATATGAAGCAGTTATCAAAATAATTGTTTTAGTAAAGTCATCAGTAAAATATTTTGATTCAAAATAATTGTTTGAGCAAGGAATTACGTGCCAGAACAAAAATAAGCATTGAAAAGGTTACAAGATATCTTACGAGCGTGGCTACAAGACAAAACTAAAAAATATAACCTTAATTATAGCATTATATTTAACATTTAAAAGCAACAAATAGAGGTTTGGATGTTAGTTTACAGTTGTTGAGTATTAAAATAATATGAATACCACAGTGTTGATGTAGGGAAGGCACTAGTGAAGGAAAATGTTATGGAAAGTAGATAAAAACATGTCTAAAGCTGGGTTTTCCTAGGCGCGGAAGCGGAGAGCGGAGAGAGGAACGCGGAGAGTGGAATTGAAATTAACATGGCATTCCGCTCCGCTTCTAGGAAAACAGTAACATTAAATTGCCTAAGACAAGTGGAGTCCGCTCTCCGCGTTCCTCTCTCCGCTCGCCGACTCCGCGCCTAGGAAAACCCGGCTTAATAACACTTGAAACATATATTTACCTTCTTGTGAGCCAACAAGTGTAAATATAAGTTTCAAGTGTTGTTAGGCGTATTTTATTTACTTACCATAAAATTAATAAGCATACAATGCTGATTAAATAGTTCTATAGGAAAATTTTCTAAACCACCTAACGTGCTAGCAATAGGCTTACCTTACAGAAGTATAGTAGTTAAGCTATTCGACAACAATTAAGGCGAACATAAGTTTAGATGTAGCTCCTAAGCTGTTTGTGTACTACTTAACCCGCAAAAACACCACAAGTAAAGTTCAAGTTTAACTGTGACATTCCAAATACAATTCAATGTCATATTTATAAATAAATATCTACTGGAAGAGTATTATTTGGTTTGTGTAAATTAAGAACTTAACAGTAAAACCTCGATCACAACCGAAAGAATGAAGCCTATTTTCCTGCTTTCTAATCCCCTTCTCGCTACTGTGTTAAGAATTAAATATTTTTCAATGTTAATGTTGTAAGCATATCGAGAGGTTATCTAACGTAATATAACAACATTAACTTACAGCTAAAACCTGTGCTAAAATAAGTATAAGGTGTAAACTAAATCACAACAAGAATTAATCTGAAATTGGACATCGATTCCAAGAAACAACCAATGATTTTCTGTTATTTAGCTAAAAAAAATTCTGTAATAAAAAAAAATTTAAAAAACTATCCGTCCAAACAGCAAAAAAAATATCTCTCATAGATTTATCAAACTAACAGTTCTGAACTAAACGAGGTGCGAGTTACTGATCACATATGTTCGGGATCTACAAAAATTCAAAAAACAACCCTAGTGCACTACACGATAACTAGATATGGTGTTTGATTTATATTATGTTATATTTACGTAATAAAATTAACACTTTCAGTTAAATTCACTTGAAGGCACAAAAAATATGTCAAATAACACTTTTGATAATATATTTACACTTTTACTCACAAGATGGTAAATATATATAAAAGATGGTAAGTGGTGATCGATTTCATTCGCCTATTGGGTCTGATGATGATTGGAATGTCCAATCAAAATCGATCTCCACATACCATCGTTTATATGTATTTACCGTCTTGTGAGTGAACAGTATAAGAGTAAATATATCATTATAAGTGTTATTTGACATATTTTTTTTCTTTCAGGTAAACGTACGATGCTGATCAAGAAGCTATTTAGTATAAGAAACCTTAACCACCAACCCAATGTTACATTTTGATGATTGTTTTCATGAATAAATGCATATCTTCAATTACTTCTGTGAATTATTAGCTAAGACTTGATTGAAAGACTACTGTGTCATCAGTGAACACAATCCAGTGTTTAGTAGATTTTATAATATTTTACATTTTTTGAGATCAAGTTTCTTTCCAAACGAACATTTACCTAAGTATATAATAATTCTTTAATTCAGATTTACCAAGAGTAGCAGAATAATTTTTGTACCAAATCGCACATACAGAAGTAACAATACAGAAGAACAAGGGGTATTTGTAATGATGGACGGACCAAGACAGTTAACAAATTTTTCAGGAAAATATATTTCTGATCTTCGGGGCGGGATACCATTCAATTCAGGATTTTCTCTGGACGGGATTTGTCCAAACTATCACAAAGTTTTACACAAGAATTTTAAAAGAAGCTATTGTAACAGGAAGAAAACCCCTGTCCCAGAAATCTGGATGAGAATAAAAATCCTGTCCTGTCCCATCCCAAACTAAAGTAGAATCCTATCCATCTCTAATTAATCGTTTATACCAAAAGCCACTAGGTACCAGAAACCCTTCGTTCTCTCCTTATAAACCAATTTCTAGCTGCTCCTCCCCTCATACATGTATTAGACTTCTAACCCAAAGTGTAGGCCTACTGTATTTATTACTTCTGCATTCATAACAAATCATTTCACATCTCTATTTTTATATGATGAAACCTAGCCTAGTTGATACATTGAAACTATACTTAACAAATACAGGCTAATGAAAAATCACAAATCACTCGTTGATTGTTTTTTAAGCAACAGCCGAACGTTGACAATAAACCCTACCTATATTTACAGACCATTTACATCATGCCATTTAATAAGTTTACTTTGTACCTACATAACAATCACAATGCACTACCATACACCTTTATTCAAGCTTAAAATAAAATATAGCTAGGAAGGCACATAAAATTGAGAACAGTTATTAAAAGTACTATTAGATTTAAACAACAATAAAATATGTATGTTTTCTAGCGTATAGAAAATGTTAAGTTGATTTTGATTAATATCATAAACCAAAAATTTAAAACTTATAATCATAGTTTGAACTTTTATGAAGGACACATCTTGTACCATAACTTTTGTCGCAACATTTTAAAATTCTATGATCTAGGCTATTTTGCACTACAATTCTACCAACCTAAATAAAATTTCTACCAAAAATTCTTTTTGTCAAATCAAATTTGTTTGACAAACAAATTTTAAAAAAGTTGTAACCCGTACAACAATAAGCAATAACAGTAAAATAAATAACGTAACTTCAATTTTTCTTCATTGAACTATCTGATAGAATAAAATTTAAAACTACTTAAACTTTTAAAATATACCACTCTAGATTACACGACTACCATAGCCATCACATTGATTCTACAACTCGGCGCTCTATACAAACTTCCCATTTTCACACGCTTGCAGTTTTCTACAGCGTCAAATTCAAATCAAAAGGTTTTCTCGTGGTAAAACAATCCAGAAGTTTCACAAGAAGATCAATCACAGTAGGGTTGATAGAAATTCTGCAAAAACATTGTTAAATCAGAACAGAAACTTATTATTTTATTACAGAAAACGAAAAGTATTAGTGTTAAAGTATTACCTATACTTTGTGAGTCAGTTATCAGGAGTGTAGCAAGGTCTCTAAATATCCGGAGAAGACGATATTTGGGACTCCTCAATCTTGCGCAAAAAATGTTGTTAATTTAAGTATGAAAACTATTTCTGCCGTTCTTAATTTTTGATCTATGTACGTCAATCTCTTACATGTTGTCCAACGTCTCATAAAAATAAAGTTCAAGGATAATTCGAGATTTTTCTGATTCAGCATTAACAATTTTCAAGTTGCACAAAACAAATCTTTTGTTTGGACCTACAAGTACCTAAAACAGCATTCAAAGAACATAAATTAAATTCCAATTCAAGAATAGTAAAATGTATAATAAGTTTTGTTTTCAACCGTAAAAGTTAAAAATTAGTTTATAGAAAAATTTAAAAAAACGTATACTTAAAATCTACCAAAAAAAGAAGAAAAAACATCAACTAACAAGCATGTATTATTGTTCTTTTCTAAAATTAGTTGCTAAAATATACTTACCCTTTAATAATTTTAAAGACATACTCTTTTCTTACCCATTCCACAATCTTCTTTTTAGGTGCATATTGCATATTTCACAATAGTGTTTGTTCACCACTTATCACACAATCGAATAACGCAGGTGAAACGTGGTTGACAATTATTAACCTACCTTTTCTTCCCAAGAGTTGTAGGTTTACTCTGAGGTTTTTTTCAACACTCTGAACATGCTTCAGCTATTCCATTCTACACTAATAACCGTAAAATAGTTTTTATTTTCTAAGATAGCAGCTCAAACAAGTAGCAGGAATTATTGCTACAAAAGGTATTTGTCTTTGACAGCTGTTCGTCAAGTTATCTGGACTTTTGATATCTACTTTGGTTCTGGTATAGTGATAGAAAGGTGTGTTATTCCCAAATACTCTTTTTATACACCGTAAAAGAAGAAAAAAATAGATTCCATATGATCTTTTTTGTTGATTTGCACTTTATCTGAATTGGAGCAAGACAAAAAAGGTTTAGTTTGACAAGTTGAGATAGGAACTATTACGTACCTCGTCTTGCAGTTCAAATATAGTGTTTTTTTTATATTTTATTTGAAGCAACATGTTGACGAGTCCAATTTGGATAAAATGTTTCTGTAACGACTTGAGAATGCCATATTTGGCAAACATATGTAGTGGACTTCAAACACTATATTTGAACTGCAAGACGAGGTACGTAATAGTTAGGTCTATACTACGCAGTTCAGGGGCTACAAAATGGAATTTAATTGAGATAGGCATTGGCACAGTTTCGATAAGTAAACACTACAAGTCCAATTTTAAGAAGTTAAAACAAATTTCTTAACTCAACATTTTTTTATACCTTTTTAAGGAAAATATTTGAAACCTAAAGCGCAAGATGAGGATTTTTTTGTTTTGAGCTGTTAAATTCTAATATGAAAAGATGAATAGATATGATAAAAAATTGCCTTATTCATTTGGCTAGTAAGATACGTAAATGAGTTTTAGGAAAAAAATTACAGTAGAACCTCGCTAACCCAAACCCTAGTAATCAGACTCATTGTTCATTCTGTTCCCAAAAAAATCATATTGTAAACGCAAAATAAATAGCATGTACCTATAAAATTTCATATTAAATGTGAAGCAATTTAGTACTTTTTTTTGCTCGCTTAAAACTTTTAACTTTTTGCAGGAACTTAGACTATCTAAAATTTACTAATGGAAACTCTAATTTACTAAAATGGCCTCTTGGTGATCTGGCCTTTTCCTGAATCCGACTGCCCGTTCAAGCTGGATTACCAAGGTCTACTTTACTTCAATCACTTTATCTGACATTTGGTTTATGCCTCACACAAAACCAGGCATAATGGGTTTTTATCAACAAAGTAATAACTTTGACTCATCATGTTGTCTGAGTCATAAGTTAAAAAATCATTTAATTCATAGTCTTAATTTCATGAGGAGTAAAGCATAAACAATCATTTTAAGTTAATGTATTTCATGTACTGTGCAATTGATTTTACTTTAGATCATCTTACATACCGATTAGACTCTTCCGACTGGCCTTATGACATGCTGTTCTCAGTCTTGAACGGACCAAACTCGTAAGTGAATTGGTCGTAATTAAAATCCTCAATAATGCTGCTGAATTCATTGTCCTCGTTCCAACCGCCAGCGTAACTACCAACAGACAGACACAACGTGTTAGAACATGTTCGGACGGATTCGGACAGGTTACTGACATTTGTTGTGTCTACCTGTGTGTTTTTCGGCAGGGAACGAGACGACAATGAACACAAAACCCAGGGAACAGGGAGCACAACAAATACCAATAACAGGCCTTTTCCAACACTATAATCTGATAAGTACATTTAAGAAAAGTACAAATACTAAAAATTGCACACGTTAAACAAAACAAATTATAAAGTGTCAACTTATAACAAATAACATAAATACTAACGCAGTGGCGTTCGTAAAAGCACCATAAGTTCATAACTTAAGTTACAAATCAATAACATCTGTAAAATATTGAGAATCGAAATCAAACTGATAGAAACATACATCTAGATAACATTTAACATCCTAAGGGTTGTGAAACATACAGTAAATATATCTTCTAAAAACTAACGGCAAAGCTCTTTGACAGTGCAACATTAACATCGTAACAGTTAGGCCTAGTAAGGCAATTTTATGAAACTTGAGCAGAGAAAACGTCAGTGTTCGGCGAACCGACTTTATAAGATTATGAGCAAGATAACAATGATAACATTGACGATACAACGAGTGGCCTCATGCAACGGAACACACAAAGATCTAGGGGAGATCCAACTGTTAGTTTAAAGAAATCTTAGTTGAAATAATTTACTTTGTGTATATTTGAGGCTGAAAATGTTCTCCCTTTTAGTTCTAAATGGGTTAAAGATAAACAAATCAAAAAATTTTCGATCACTTTTACAGAAAATACATAAAAAGAGCAATTTGATATGTTTACAGCAAAAAAAATCCAAAATATTTAATCGTATCTGATATCCTAAGTAAAAATCAAGCTTTTGGTATTTGCTAAGGCATAAAACCCTGTATGTGACATTTATAAAATATTGTTTAGTCAAAGAGAACAAATACAAAATCTTAACATTACACCATCTCACAGGATGACAACCATAGAGAAAGTAAAATATCCATACAAACAAAAATATAAAATATATATATAATATACAAACATATTTTAATAAAAAGTAACAAAATACATTTTCCTAAAACACAACTTTTTGTGTAAGAAATAAGAATTACAATGGTAATCAATAAATCCAACTTTACGCTGGATTCCCTATTGGAGAATTACCTTAACCAAACAAAACTATACCAGAAAATAATTTGATTAATTGTCTTACAACATTTGGAATGCCAACAAAAATGCTGATGGTTCGGTCACAAGAGCTGTAAAAATGATGCAATTTCTATTTTGTCAGCTTAACTAATAGTGAGTCTAGCCATATATAACTAAAATATAAAATTTGTGCCATAGTAAAAAACTGACCTATCTAAATTGATTTAATAATCCTTTATCACTCAATAAGTTGAATAAACAAATTTAAATATAGCCATAAGATTCAAAATAACAAGTTTTTACTAGGACAGTTTTATTGAAAACCCACACGAACAAACCATGGCAAAAATTAACTAGTTTCATTGACTAAATTGATCCGTTTCAGTCTATGGATGAATGTTACAGTATAAAATGGCAAAAGATATTCTCTAGTATTTTACTTGAATATAAAATATCAACATTAAATATAACCTAATTTTTGAATATGTAATGATTGGTCCTCTTTATACAGAATGTATTTTAAATGCAATCTGTTTGGTGTTCCTTAGAAGAAACTATAGTACTGTTTAACCTAATGATACTATTACAGTCCGACATTTAAACATATCTGCAGGCCTATAATTACTTAGCTCCATTGTATTGTAAAAATCCCTCCGTTTCCATGGAGTTTGAATGCAGTTTAACTTTGAACACACAAAACAATTAAGTACAGCTACTTAAACAAAATAAAGACATTGACTTTTAGAAGTTATCGGTTTTATAAAATTAGTTCAGAGTTACAGTTTCTATTCAAACCCCATCCTACTTAACAATGGTTATAAATCTGTAGTACCACAGAGAAATAAGGTACAGACGAAACATCTAACGGTTCACCTAAGTGGTGTCTAGCAATAGTCGCTGGTGTCTAGGACAGTCCAACCCCCCCCCTCAATGAAACATCCAACGGCACACCTAAGTGGTGTCTAGCAATTGTCCCTGGTGTCTAGGACAAATTCTAACACCCTCCCCTCGTCCTCATGTACTATAACGCTCACGGTGGAGGAAGACCCTGTGCCATAGTAACTTCCACACAGTGGTCAAATATTACTCGTCACAAGTATTATTTTCAGCACAACATACTAGAGCTGAAAGCGTAGTCGTTTCCTCTGCACTTCACTTCTCTGTGGTATTAAAAAAGCAGATAACCCCCAAAAAAGTTAACCTAAACTGTTTATGTTACATTTGTAAAAAGACGGAATGTGTGCGATAAGGGGTTAAATATCCGATCACATTTAACATTGGTCAGTGTGTTAACTAACAAATCTTACACCGACCTATAAGACACTTATTCTACCCTAACCTAACCAAATACATTCAAAAGCACATTTCGAGGCACATCCAACAATAAGATTAAAGAGCTAAACTTTGAAAATATTTCTAAACATTTTATTTAGCTAACACTACATAAATTCCACATCACATAGATTACTAACATCACATAACATATCAATATCCATTGAAACATTTGAAACTGAAATAACAGTCAGGAATTTATTGTGGTCTGATAAAAAACGGAAGGAAGTGTCTGTCAATGTAAGTTAAAGTGATATAATAAATAAGTGTGAAATACTCTTGAATAAAAAGTATTGTCATTATTAATCAAAATTAAACAGGGTTACCACTAAAGCAAGCTGTTCTACGAGACAAACATATATTTATACGTCAAACATTCATGAACAGAAAGAAGCTACTGGGCAGCTAACAATTCTGGAATTTCAAAGTAACTGAACAACGACTATACAAGTATTTTAAGAGGACGGCTAAGCTGAATCGGGTTTGTAAGTTTTACACAGTTAAATGTTTAAGAAATTGTCAATTAGAACAACAACAGAAGAAGTGTTCACGAGGACGGAAAACTACGCAGATTCGGTAGTTTGTAGACAAAAATAACAGCCAAGTATAGTGGATAAGGTGAAATGCAGGTAACAATAAGATAACGCAACAACTGTAAGTACAAGACACTCTGTACAGTTGGTACGGTATTAAACTGTCTATCGTTAGATTCCTTTATTAGTAAAAGGACAAATTGTTCATTACTTTGTCAGTTCAGATCAGAGTGGTTATCAATGAAATATCAATAACAGCAGCAGTTGAATATTTGCGTAAACATTTGTGAATTAACCTGACAAACTGATTTTAAGGATGTTAATATTTCAAAAAAATTCTAAAGCTTCAAGATTAGACAGAATTTTTATTTTTTTCACAGATGTTTTCTAAGCGCATTGTGATCAAATTAAGTATCAGTATAAAAAGGAGTAAGGTTTTGAGACTTTGAAAAAAGCGAGGGAACTAGCTTAAGGTTCGGTAGATAACAATAGCAGTCCTGACAATCAAAACTACCCTTGCGATCAAAAAACAGAATGGAAACACTGAAAGGTGGTGTGTCAGTAGAAATACGTCAAATTTTACATCCGTTTTATTAATATAATATCTAGTCTATCATAATTTTAATGTTTCAAACCATAATAAATGGTTTAGAGACATCAAAGTATGCTCACAAAAACAAAGCTTAAATGACAATCATTTTGTAATTAAAAATGGTTACAAGTGTTAGGAATGTAATCTAAAAAAACGAAATCAAGAAAAATCATCCATTTTGCTTTTTTAAAGCAAACTTACTTTAAGTAAAAAATATGGTGCAGTGATACAAACATTTAGGATAAGTGTGACATTAATATCTCTTATACATTTGTCAGGAAATATCGAGAAGACAACTTTATGGCAAATACAGTTTTTAGACTATTTCAAAATGCTAAATATAAAAAATATAATGAAACTTATTTCAAACTAAATCATTTGGCACTCAAATATTATTTGTGTTATCAAATCCCACAAATTTATTGTATAGTAATGACACATTAATTAACCAACTACACAGTCAACAGCATTACGACAATAAGTGCCTTTTGTGCGTCTACCGTAACGCTTGTGAGATGGAAACGGTTAACAGTCGTTGTTGTTACAGTCTTCGCCGGTTACGATGGAAAACGGTTATAATACTAGTTGGTTCTGTTACTCTGGTCATGATATGTCCATTGAGTGATACAACTCACAGCACTCGCACTTAAAAATACAAATCTACACAAAGTAAAGAGAATGAAAAATTTACAAAAAGTTTTAAAAACACATTGGAAGAAGAGAATAGGAACATAAATTTTACAAAAGAGATACAACGTAACTAGAGCGAATCTACAAATTAAATGATAGTCTAATATTTGGTTTTACGAAACTCAACATGTCTACTGGCCAAAGTGACGCAACATGCAGTTTTATCGTAACATTCTCAACTGAAAAACTTGTTGCGAAAAAGTTAATTTAACTCATATAGAGCCATAGGGTGGAGGAAGAACGATAAATAACTTTATATTAAAATCACTAGGATAAAATTTTCAATTGGACCTAATTTCATATGTCAATTGTGAAAACAGCACAAAAAATGTAAATGAAATCTGACTGAACTAGATATCCCATCAATATCAAAGTTGTCTAAAATTAAAATGGACGTAGTTGAATTGAACCAACGGCAGAGTTCGCTAGTGTACATCATGGCATACGTTAAACACATAAACTTTTTAACCAAGTCAAACTGGTTTGAAAACTTATTATAACTAGAGGTGTGCGGATAGTGAAATTTCATTTCGGATCGGATTCGGATCGGATAGTTGAAGCTCGGTTCGGATCGGATCGGATATTGGGAGGTTCGGATTCGGATATTTTCGGATTCGGATAGTTCGGCGCGGTTAATAATAAGCTGCATATGTATTTTTAACCTACAAAACAATGTAAAGCTGTGTAAATAAACTTAAATGACAATTTTGAACTATAGAATTTCAAATTAGCCAAGTCCACAGTTTTCTCTCTCTTGAAAATCACAATTCACAACATTTATTTTCAAAAGTTGGTTGCTTGAATTAAGTACACTAGCAGCCGAAATCTTCACAAACACCTTAGCTCAGCAGGACTGGTGTCAAACGTTTGGGCTTGTTTACTTGAGGTTATGATTTATCTTGTTTCCTGGTTCTCACAAGCCAAGGAGTTCGATCTCAAGTTTATTTTCACATTGTATTTCCTTACGTTTTTGGAACGGATTATTGGGCTTAAGTGGCATTTTGTGGGTTTGCCAAGTGTAGAATCACTAATGCACTAAATTGGCTCTAGCTCACGATTTGATGTTGGGCAATTAGACTTTATAACTGTGTAAAAGGTGTGTATCCCTGAATTTATAAATTGCATTCTACACATATTCACTGCCAAACATAATTCAGTAGAACCTTGATGAACCGAGAATTACACTAGCCTAGACATAACTTCATTACCCCAAGTAAAATACCAAGATAATCTTTATAATTTTATTTGAATCGTATAATCTTAGTTTGTTAAAAATGGATTGTATGTTCAACAATAATTGCAGTCCATTATTGTTAAGCAGTATGGTCCCAAATTATTGTTTTTGATTTTGAAACATCACAGTTCATTTGACAAAATTATAATTGAAGCAGCCCAATGTCAAGTCACGCGCGCTTGTGCAATAGTTTGTTTACAAGCTTTCTCCAGACCACTGGGGAGGGGAGGGGAGGGTCTGATAAGCCGTCTATTGTTCACCCCCAAGAAGGTCCGACCCTCATTAGTGCCGCTCGGCTGCACTCAGTGTTTTACCCCCTGCTGTGCGCTATGTCATACAAGCTGATAACGACGTTGAATGCGTGATAAGGGAAACCCAAGAAATAGAAGAACAAAGAGAAAGAATAATGACGTTGTTATCTTTATTCCATTTTTACAATTTCCGTTATTTTTTGTTATCTTTATGTAAGATTTTATGATTTTGTTTTATAGGTTTATAAAATAATTCTTTTTAACTACGGGAATATCAATTTATAATTTATCAACGTGCTTCTCTTCTGAAACAGCAATACCGGATGCATAATAAAGGTCAATGACCTAAAATATCACGATTGTGCAATATTGTATTTTGATGTTGAAATTAAAATCACGACAAAAGTTTGTATATATCCATGGTCCCTATCGTTTAATCATTTAATATGTACACAATAAATGCTAAATAATCGTGGTTAGTTCTAACTTTATTTTTTATTATTCAAAGTTTCTACACAGTAAGACAATCCAAAGTCAAACCGGGCAATGAATACCCAAAAAACAACGTATCTTGTCCTGTGATTGGAATACCACTCGCCGGCCAGTCCTTTCTGTTTAGGGAAGTAGTGCAAGTCTATATATAGCTTCAAGGTCTTACCCACCCCTTCCCCCTCCGGTCCTACTTGACTCACTACCCGCGCTCCTTTCGAGGTTATTGCCCAACCCCTCCCACCCTTCTATCGTGTTGCCTTTCTATTGTTTCTATTCTGACTTTTTTCGGGAAACATTTAATCTATTGTTTACGTAACATCACAGTAGTAGGCTAGATTTTTCTACTTTGAAACAGTACTGTAAAAAAACTATTACGCAGCGCCCCTAGTATCAGGAGCAAGACAAGCACGAGTTGACTTTCATTTGACCATGGTAGTTCTTTTCTGCTTTATGTCTGTTCGTTCCAGACGAATCTAATCGTAAAGCAAAACAGCCGATAACGACTAAACTAGTTATCAGTATTGCATCATACGGCTTCTTTGCCGTTTGCTGTTAGGTCGTTGGAAACGTATTGCTGTAATTTTGTCCTGGGAAACTAATGGTGGTTATGGAGGTTTTCTGTCCAAAACGTCAAAATATATTGTCTATCCGAAAAAGTCGGATATATAACGGATAGTATCGGATATCGAATTTGGGCTCGGTTCGGATACGGATATCCGAACCGAACCGAATCCGACCCGATTTTTCGGATATCCGCACACCTCTAATTATAACCATATTTTATGGCAAATCACCTATCTGTGACAAAAACTACGAGAGAAAATAACATACAGACTCAAGAGCACTCTTTGAGTGGTTCACTCAACTAGGTTCTTTTTGAGTAAATTAATTGGCAGCTGGTTTATATAGATGGAATGTCTACTTCTGTACGCAAAAATCTTTGATGAAAACTGAAACACTTTTGTATAAAATACAGCTTAAGTCTAAAACTGATAAAGGGAAGCCAGAAAATGTCGTCTTTTGGCCAACACAAGCGTTGGAAAGTGATAATGTGCCTGATAAAACTGCATTTCGGTCAAGACTGTTTGAGAAAGATTTAAGGCGATGTAGTCATGGACATGTACAGCCAAGTTCCCATTCTTCCTCATAGCTCCAGCACTGAATGGTAGCTAAAATAACAAACACCACCACATTTTAAATTTTTTACCATAATCTATTCAGTTCCAAGAATCAGTGTTGGTCAATACCAATGAAAGAAAAAGTTGAAGTAGACTGTCAAGTAAACATTTTTTTGGAAGGAATAGGGTTCAGCTAGCTTACCTGAGGAATTAAAGTCCAGGGGTTACTAGATACACATAAAAATGTTACAAAAATAACAATAATATTTCTAATATAGTTTTGATCTTCTAATAGCAGTTTTGAACTTAAACTGACATTTCGCGTCAACCCTGAAACTCAAATCTGAAGAATTCCTAAGATATAAAGTAGGAATCTTTAGTTCTTAGGTATTTCTAGCTGAACTCAACTCCTTTTTAAATACCACTAGCTAGCTACTTTGCTTTTAATTGAAATTTATCACTTTAAAAAGTCGTCAAAGCTTCGATGTGTAGATAAAATAAAGTGGCAAAGAGATTAATCAAGTGTTCTTGGCAAGACCACAAATTCGAAAAGTAAGAGTTTGTAAATTGATTGAATGCAATTTGATAGGAAGCATAAAAAGTTATTGGTACATTTTAAACAGCTGACTTATCTTGAAATTTATGTAGGAACTAAGCTTGAAACACAAAGGTGTGTCACTAAAAGTCCCAATAAAAATGAGTCAAGGAAAGATAGGAGTAGACCGATTCTCTCTAAAGGCTACATCTTTTTCAAGATCAGTCGGCTACTTTCTTTGAAAAACATTAACAATGAGATATTCCCACCCCTAAATGATTATTATTATCAACAAATGAGAGGTGGATGCCCCCTAGGAGTGTATTCCCAAATATGAATAAGTAAGAAATGAGTGTAAATTGGAGTGAGATCTGTGTGGATTTGTTGCTAAAATCAGTTGTGTCATTAGCCAGGATCATTTATTTAAATCCCAATGATCAATTACAACTTGGGTCTAGTTTCACACCAAGAAAAAACTACTGACCTTTTTTAGGATGGATCCAACAACCTTTCAATTATTAGGCGAGCACTAAAACCACTCAGCTTCCCGCCCAGTTGGTACAATATTACCTTCGTAACATTAGCTAAAACTTTTATTATGAAATTTGTACTTTGTAAAATAAAATATAATAGTTAAAATACAAATTATTGGGAAATTTAAATTGTAAAACATATAGTTTATAGGTATTACCGGTAATGGGATATAGGCTAGAATAGGTTTGATTTTGTTTTTGGATGAGAAGAGAAGGTGTATAGTGGGCGAACTCAGTAGGCAACACATTATTAAGGGACACAAAGTTGAAATATTTCATGACAACTGACCACATCATCAATCTCAGAGGTGGGAAGATCATTATATTGTGATGTAGAAAGCAGTAGTTTTAACCTATTACAAATAAATAAGAATTGCAGGTTATACAGACAAGATCAAGATTCTAGCTAATTCACTGGTTCTGTCTAAAACCTGCTCAAGAAAGATGTTGGAAGAGGAATTATCACTTCCAACTTCTACTTATAGTGCCAGCAGCACTCAGCCCAATACATAGGCCTTACCTACAGTTTTTCACTTGGATGAACAATTGAACATACAGACAAGATGTTAAAGCAAGCTACAAAGACGAACCAATCATTTACTTAATCAACCACAATATAAAATAAATAGTTCGGTGCTTCACTTCAAAAGTTCTTAAAACCATACCTAACCACAATCGCTCCCAACTCGGACGGAAAGCATCTTATCAGTGGTTTTCACATCGAGGGACTCCCAAACCTTAACTTAAGATAATTCCTCTTACTCCTCTTTGGGCTTCTTGACCAGTGAGTTAGCTACTCTGAATCTTGTACATACAACATACTTGCAGGAACTTTTAATGTTGCCAACCTGAAGGTCACCATTGTAATCTTCTCTGTGGTTGACAAAATGCCCAGTGATCATGAAATATTTCGATTGTGTGTGTGTTTATGAGTTGCCTATTGAGAAGACCCACCCAATGTACATCTTGCTCTTATCCAAAACAAAATCAAACCTGTGGCCTACAGCCCTTCACCCCTTATGTCTTGTTACCTGGGCACCCCCGATTCAGACATGACGGAGCCAGCATCGGGGCTCTGCGGCTGGAACATTGTCTGTGGGGTGTTGGGGTAACTGAGCCCAGCGGAGGAGCCCATCTGTCCAGCAATGCCAGGGATGTGCGTCACTAGTAGCGGCTTGACGTAACCGTTGTTGGACGTCGGCTGGTTGTCTACAACACCAACACAAGGTCAGATAAACAACCAATAATCTACTAGTCTACTAGTGGTTGCCAGTATTTATTTAAATATGTAAACAATGACATTTGTTATCATCTCCAGCAGTCAAGAGATAATCTGGGACATCATCAGGTAACATCCATGATGATTTACCGGTATCGTGGCAACATCCGTGATCATCTTCAGCGACCTCGTCATCACCTGTGATAATCTCCCGTGGTCATAGCAATAACTGTGATGATTTTCTGGGATCACAACAACCCCTCTAGTATCTCCAGCAATCACAGGAATGTTCGTGATGATTTACCACCATGGCATCAACATCCCTGATAATTTCTTACAATTGTGGTGACTTGCGTGTGCACCGCAATGTCACAATCTTCCTCGAATGAAGTTTTTTAGTTGACACGTTGAGGTGAAAAGAGAACAAACAGTAGTTATGGAAAAATTAAAAATGTTCCCCGTCAAACAAATTCACATACAATTACAAATTTTCCCATGTTAACACAGTCATCTTACTAAAGCTCAACTCGATAAAAACTTCAGGCTTTTACATGTCTATATTTATAAAATATCTTTTAACAATATAAACATTTCTCATTAGGCCTATAACAAATTTTTCTACAGGACTCACTATATCAAAAACCACCACAACAACAACAAATCAAAGAAGCTTTAAATTGAACCACCTGTGAATGGTGTGTAGTATTTTTGGAAGGCTGTAACCTTGCAGATGTCTGGGTACAAGTTGACGAGGTTTGGCAAATCCGAGATCCTGTCTGCCAGAGAACGGATGGTGAAGTCCTTGCTGGTGAACGGCTGCAGCATAAACACCTCCGAGGAGTCTGAAGCAGAGGAGTTCACAAACTTATAAATAATTTTTAGTTAGCTGTGTCCTCTCCATCCTATATTTATTTATTTAATCCAAGCTAAAAACATAAACTTATAAATAATTTTGTAATATATGAATAATCAACTAGCTGTACCCGCGGGCTTTGCCCCGTTTAACTTCATAAGTATTCGCATGGCTCATTCACGTCCTGGTTCACATAGAAGGAAATTCTACTCCAGAACCAAAAGGTTAACGATACTATACAACAACAAGTTTGCCTCACCTCCTCCCACCCATGCGATGGTTACTCCACCAGGTTCAGAATCGGAGAATCTTAACAGAAATGTTCCACTTCCACATGTGGACAACATCTCTTCTGCCTGCTTCTTGCGAATGAATCCATGGATCAATCTACAAACAAGTCACAATTCATCAGCAGACGATCAATTTATGAAATGTCATTAATTATTTAACTAATAGCTGCTATACACGTGTTGTACAAAGGAAGGAGGACACAGTACAGAATATTTTGGGCTTCTTTGGAACTGCTGTATGAAACAGTAACATAGCTATAATCAATTTTAGAATCAAAACTTTAAACTTAATTATTCCACTTGAAATATTAACAAACACTTTCTACTTCATGGGAACTGTAATATCAAGCATATTTGTAAAAGTAAATATGACAACTGTGAATGTCGGTGAGGCGGATACCTAGAAGTTTCAAAGTAAAAATGGTTCCTTGTCTATTTATTGTATATTGGCTTTATTCCTGTGAAATTTCAGCATGGTCGATCCAGTAGCTGTCATGGGATATCAGAGTAGCTTGGGCACATCCATTCTTTCCCATTTAAACAAGTAGGATTTTTTTTGTACGTTCTGGGTTACTTTCTTTAATGCTAACTTAACCCGGGAAAACCATTTTTACAAACTCACCCGTCCATCCAAGGTCCCTTCAAATGTTCTCTGGTGAGTTTCATCACTGCGTAGAACCATTCCCAAAACGTAAAGTTCCTGTCTTGCAGAGGTTCTTTGCAAAACTGGGACCAGCTGAGAGGAAGGTTGTTGATATCTCCGGACAGCTGATTGGTCCTATAACAATTAACTTGTTCTCAAAATTCTCCAAGACACTTTCAAAGTTTCTTAAATAAAATTAATAACCTATGAAAACAATTTGCTCTTAAATTATAATCAAAGAGGTTTATATACCTTTTACCATCGAGCAATCCTTCTAGCCCTAACTAGTCTCCTGTTTTAGAATCTTGAGTCTTTATCAGGCCTCAAGGTGGTTTAATAAACAAGATTGACCATTTATTCACAACAGTAAACACCATTTTACAAACAATACATTAATTTATATGTTGCAGACAGTAGCAAAGGTAATTCTATAGCTAAAATATCTATGAAATGCAAACAGTGATGATATAAATAATAAGTAAAGAACAGAGCAATACTAGAATTTAAACAATAAATAATATAAGTTATACGAGGAAAAAGGACTCAACAAGCAAAATGTAACAAGAATAAACTAATGAAATATAAACTTAACATGGGCAGTTTAACTAACATAGTCAATACAGTGATGATAACAAGGACAAAAAAAACCAACACTTACGTGCAAAATTGGAATTTAAACCAGACAATAGGAACTTAGACATTGAAAAACAGAGAATAAAATATGTGAATTAACAACCAACAAGCCAAAAAACAACAAACAGCAACAAAAAACCAACAGCAAGAGTGATGTGATAGCATAATACACAACAAATTAAAATGCTTAGCAAAAACAATAACTAACCATCCACTATCCAGCAATATTTTAGTTTTATTACTAATATACACTTTTCACTTTTATGGACATTTTTTGTTTTTTATGAACATTGACGCTCTATGGCATGTAATCATTCGTTAACAATGAAATGTTTGAAATTTGCCAATGAATTTTTGCCTTAATTGAAATGTTTGAAATTCGCCAATGAGTTTTTGCCTTAATTATTCGGACATTTCCACCCCTTAGTGAATTCAACAAAATTTAACATACCTGAATGCTTTCTCTGCAAGGAATCGGAGGTTGTCTTCAGAAAGTGATCGCCCGGTGGCCGCCATGAACTTCATGTTCAGCGCCTCCGCCACCTGTTGCCACGGCACCTTCTCCGGCACTGCGAACGGCACTCGGCCTGGCTCTGAGAAGGCGTTGTCCCAAGTGACTGTGGCCCAGGCATGAGGCTCCTGGTTGCCGTGGACAATCACCACAACGGGTAGAGATAGAGTCCATACCTGCACACATCATCACTAATTAGCCTACCGAGTTCTTGAATAAAAATGTGATTTATTCAGTTTCACAAATAAAATATGTAGTAAATAATGTTACGATCAATTTACAGTCTAATTACAAACCTGAAACACCAATTCACCACCGCCGATGGAAAACTGTGATGAGAAAAGCAACGAGAACTTTTCATCCATGACTGACTCGGTCCCTTTCTTCTCTGCCCTCTTAATCTTCTTCAGTTGCATGTTTCTGTATAACAAAAATTACATTTAGTAGGGGGTAATGAAAAAGGTTCTAAGAGTAAAGTAGGTGAAATTTGTTTATGGTAATTGTTGTTTTATAATTAAGTTACACTTTTTAAAGTTATAGTAGTAATTTTTTCCTGAGTAGCCTTGCTTTTTTCCTCGGGAATTAACCGACAACCATATGATTATTTGACAAGAACTATGACCTCTCAGTTACCCAGCTATTTTACTCCGTCACAAGAAAATCCCGAATTAAACGGAACCCCGCCATGAAGATAAGAAATATTTTTTTCCCGAAAATATCCACAATGTTTCCTAACACTTATATTCAGAGTAAATTGTTTTTGCAAACAAATATAAACCCACTTTTTCTGAATAAACATAATGGTGTTGAGTGAAAGGGTGGATACATACTGTAAGATACTTTCAGACTGTAACGACCTTCATTAATGCAGGGAAAAAAATCTATTCCCACAAGGCGAAAGCGAGGGGAAGCAATTTCAGGCCTCCACCTGACCCTAGTTTTTAAACATCGGCTGACAGCTATCAGCTGATATATTAAGTTAAAGTTGTGCAGAACCCAGGAAACCTTACCCTTACCCTTGAATTTTATGATTACTACCTGAAGCTGACGGATAATTGACGAGTGCCCTGGTGATACTCCATCGTACCAGTGTTGTTGAGGATTTCACCACTGGCTTCTCCCTTTCCAATTTTGTCGTTTTTCAATAAAGCGTTCGCTTGAGCTTCACTATTTATGGTAACTTTGACCTGTCAAACAAAAAATAGTTTTAGACTTCAAAAGCTACTCAAGTTGGTTAAACCATACATATCCTTTGTGGAATGAGTTTGTTGAGTATATTGCAATGCTTGTAGGATGTTTTCAATACTATACTATATGATACCTCAGTTTAAATTGTATAAACACACTAAAATCCTCCCACTAAGACGGTAGTTATTACTGTATTCAAAATAAACAGTTGATGTTTTGTAATCGGGCATTGTTAAATGACATTTAATCGATTGAAGAACGGGTTGTTGTAGGTATAATTATTACAAATTTTTTATTAGATAAACAAACAAAATCAATAAGATAATTAATTATTAGCATTACTAATTTACAGCTTTTTCATAAAAAATTTCCGAATAACGTTGGTTAACAATTTTGATTCTTTTGCTGAAAATTCCACATCAATTTTTTGAACAACAATCACAATGACTTTTCAGCCCAAAAGAAAGATGCTAGTGTCAACATTAAAATGCTTTCAAAATCCTTAAAATTTATAATTCTATCGGTAGTACCTGTGGAGGAGTCATGTGCACGTTGAGTCGTCCCCCCACCAGCAGTCGTACAGTAGACGTGAACCTAGTGTTGGTTTTCATCACTTGTGGTGGCTGTTTTTCTATGATGAACGTGCTGCAAGTAAAAAACATTCTGATTAATAGATGCATATCTTTATGTAATACAGTACTGGATGTTAGTGACTTTATCTTGAAAACATAGGGGACCCACAGACCGCTGCTTTAACCCTTTGAATGCTATGAGACGATATATCAGCGGAGCAGACGAATGTCACTGGCCAAGTGACACACGCCCTAGCCTTCTCGGCTATCTGTCCTTGGAGACTGAGGAGTCCAAAACTGGTATTTAAGCTGACGCCAACGATTTCGTACGGATAGCGTACCATATTTTTCCTGAAATAGCTATATTATTATAACCTTATCAAACTAAATCAGGGTTAAATTCAATATTGCGTAAACTAGATGCCTTTCGATTTTATGAGATTTTGGTTTCAAAGAAAGCTATCAGAACAGGGGGAGAAAAAAATCGAACGTGCACAACTGAAGAATATAAACTAATTAAAATTGAGAAAAGTTTAATCTAAATAAAAAAAGGCAACATAAAGCATTGTGAATGCAATTGGGTAAGTATAATGGCATAGTCCGGGGGAAATACCATGGACAAAAACAGTAACTATAGACAGCGGTTAGCATATGTTCTGGCGTCCACCGCTAGGAGTGCCGTGTAGTTATGGCGCACACCGCTGCAGCATCTGCTGGTAGAATACAGCGAGTAGATGAGAAGCCGACAACGGCAGCAAATTGAACACCGAGCACACTCTGGCTGCACATCACAGAACCTTCCTTTGACAGTCTATATTTATTCTATTTGTCTATGGAAATACATACCTTGTAACCAGTGAGGACAGCAGCTGAGTTATTTGGATGCTCAAATTGGGCAGAATGTCCGGAGCTCCGGGAGGGCTCAAGCCCAACTTCTGTTTGAGTCTCTCAGCCTCTTTGATCTGTTGTCTGTTGGTCCAGATTATCTCAGCAAGGCCCTCGCACCTGTTACACATTTCAATTTGCTGTTAAAACTATTCATTCAGAATCCTTATACTAAATGAAGATCAAAATTACACTCATTGATTAAAAAAATCTATTGTTTTAGCATTGGTCAATTGTTTTTTAACAAAACCAAACCCTACTGTACCAAACCAACCACACTTGGACAAATCAACTATCTGTTGAAAGGTTAGGATCACTAGCTTAAAAACTGAGTAGTGAACACATTAAAATACAAACAAATAGATAAAACAAAAGTGCGCTGGAGTCAGGGCTAGACTAGTGTGTGCAACTACTTGTCTATAAGCCATGAGAATATGTTTTGATATTGACTTCCGATAAGTGACTGTATAAAAGTAAAACCGAGGACGTATATATATATGGGGGTCTGCTGTATGACCATTGGCGAGTTTTCCCTTAAGACTTTTAAAACAAACTAAAGTTTCCTTTATGGTAAGAAAGAATAATCTTTTTCTTAGAATAAGACAGAATTATTCTTTCCCATTTGAGGAATCAGTAAGGAAATAACAATTTTCACCCAAAGTAAATTTTGAAATTTTTTCCTTCCTTAGAAAAAATTTCAAGTGTCCGGCTTATCTCATGTTATTTATTGGAGGTTAGTCAGCTCACCACTCCTGTATGGAGTCCAGGTTGCTGTTGAACTTTGCCCCGTTGCCGGCCAGCTGCTGTTCCCTCTTCCATCGGATCAGTTCGTCGTCCAGTATCCGCGACTGCAGTACTGCCAACTGTGTGACAGTATCCTTCAACTTGTCTGCCAAGGCCAGCTGCATGTTCATCAGTACTGCCACCTGCGGGGAAAACACGGGTCAGTTGGTACACCTGCATTGGTGCTGTGTGTGATTGTGAGTATGCATTATGTGTCCAATATAAAGCCAACTACAATAAACATCACTAAGGTGCCTACTAAATCTGGTTAAAAAAGGTTTTCCAGGAGAATTCATGACAAATTCATGAATATAAAGTACTACCGTCAAAAACCTCCTTTAATCATCATCATATTGCTTTTATATTTAAGCGACCGAGGCTACATATGTGAGCATATCTTGCAATTTTGGAAATATTGGTAATCGTCTTCCGCAACCCAAACTGTAAGCATATCTGCGGTCTCAGTGACACAGGAATTGTCTTCAGCCATTGTGGTGACACCGGTTTACCGACGTTTTGGATGGCAAGGCTTCGGGTATTTACTCTCACATTTGGGATCCCTAAAGCGCAATGAAATTATGTTTATTACCATTAAAGTCATTACAGGCATTGGCAAGCGTCACATTCAATACAAATCAACGTGTTGGTTTCATTCCTGGAGTTTTCCAGAATATTCCATAGTAAAATTCCTGGAGAGTTGACTAGACACCAAGACTACCCACCCAGTAACATACAGCAATACAAACCTTTTGGTTGAGCATCACATCAAACATCTCTTTCTGTTTGCGAAGTCTCTTCTCCATTTCAGCAGCCTGGGGAGTTGTTGGCGTTTGCATCTGGCTCAAGTGAGCTGAAACAAAATGGTTGTATGTTTAAATTATCGGTATCGGCAATCTGACACATACTTACTCCCATTACCTTGACAACAACCCTTGGGGAGAAAGTAAAAGGTGATAGTAGTGTGATCACACTTGCATTTTAAGCATTTAAATACCACGTTAAAATATACAGCTAAGATATGTGTGGATATTAAAACTGTCTATTGAGTTGTATTCACAGAGTCTAAGTGAAAATTGTTAAAGGACAGTTCCAGTTTTTTTAGGTTAAAAATTCAGAATTTCTAAGTCAAAAAATTACTGCTCATAAAAAGGAAACTCGCTTACCAAATAGGTATTAGATTAACCAAACTTCGCTATCTGCAGACTAAGCCATCTCTATTTACCCGGTTGTATTTTTTATTTACTTGGTATGAAATAAACAAACATGTCAAATATTATCACAAAAATATATATAAACAAGCTCCATATGAATAAAACATCCATAATTACTTCCACAATCATCATGATCACTTTCCGCAGTCACTATTTTCTTACACGACAATATGAATAGAGAAAAAATTATGACTATTGTCGGATATCACTATTAAAATTCTACAAGACTCACTGTTGAGTTTATTGCACTCGTGAAACTGCAACGCAAACGACTCTTGTTCCTGTTCCAGCTTGCGCAGCTCTTCGCAGGTTACTTGTGTGAGACTGCGGAACCGTTCCAACTCCTGCATTATCTGCATGGCCGTGTCCGTCACCAGACATGTCTGCATCATGCCCAGACCCATCTGAACACACAAACACACCTTTCAAACAGCTGCTACATGACATTTCAATTTATTTATGTACAATTGAGCGAATCTATAAGCACCATATGACATTTGCGCATCTGAACACACAAACACACTTCTCAAACAGCTGCTACATGACATTTCAAGTTATTTATGTACAACCGAATGAATCTATAAGTACCATACGGCATTTGGATACCTAGTCTAAAATTTGAATAGTTTGATTTTTACCAAAATTCAGGGGATTTTACAGGAAATACTTTGAGCACCAACTATAGTAGAATAACAATAATCCAGATTAATTGTGTTTTGGGGTCATCCGGATCATCGAAATTCCCGGATTAACCAAAATAACCTTAAAAAGGCCAGCACATACCTTTTGTGCAAACAAACTTGTTAAAAACGTATATATTATTTTATTTTACTGGTATAGGTAAAGTAGGGCCTTAAACAGACTAAAAGAGAGATAAAATTAAAAAAAAATTTATGTTCAAGCATTGTACCATGTTTATTTACAACAACATGTGTACAGTAAACAGTAAAAACATCAGACACTACATAGGGCTATTTGAGTTCAAAAAAAAAATTGTGAAAGGTTTTTGAACTGCAGTACTTAGTGGTTTGTTTTTTTAAGCCGAGTGGTAAATTTGTTTCAAAAGACAGTACAAAATTTTACTTCTTGCTAGAGACAAATCCACATTTTTGACGGTCCAGGATATCGACATTCTACCGTAACGGATGAAGCTCAAAGCTTCTATGTTCTTTATTGATTTGTTCTAAAAAAAAAACAATTTTGGATGAGTTGCCCAAAAGCACATGAAACGCTGAAATGAACAATGCAGCCAATTCTACACAATAATTGTCGGTACTTACCACTTCACCCTCGTGGAGAAGTCTCAGTTCTGTGTCTAAACAATGTCTCATCACTTTGAACAGTGCTATCGGGTTGTGGCTGTACCTTTGCTGCAAAAACAACCATCGTGATATAGTGTATTACGTTACTAGTCCTGAAAATAGGTGTTTACCGGACTAGTGTGGTCGTACCCATGCGAGACAAAGTCGAGTGCGGGACTACCATCAAGATAAATGCTTTTTCCTAAAAACATAACCTTAAAGTGACAAATCTTTTCACTCTTTCCTTTACTCCTTTCTTTCCTTAGTGTTACTGTGCGACTATCCTATCCACTATGAACCTATCTTCCTTTTGGCTAATTTTAAACTGTTGTTCTTGTATTATGTGTGTGTTTTATGTGTTCTTTGACTCGTCTGCAACCTTTCATCAGGTGAGTTAGCAGTGTCCTCTCCATCCTATATATTTATTTAAGAGTGGGCAGTAGCAGTCGGCCATATTGGATTGATGCCCCATAAGAACAATGTAATCTTTTGAACCGTATAGCGCCGTTATTTTTTAACATAGAACTACGTTTGATGTGTCATTGGAAAGAGAATACAATTCTACAGGGGGTTTGCTTTTTATTTTTTTGATTAAAGAAATATTAAAATATTTATAGCAAAAATACGCTTGTTTAAGTTTACAAATTTGTGGAGGATTTTCTAAAGGAATATTTGAAATTCGAAAAAGCAAACCCCCTACAAAATTTAATTATCTATCGAATAAAGTTTGTTTCAAGAAGATCCGACGTAAACTGTGCACGTGATATGGTTTAAGAAAATGCATGTTTTTGCTGCCCATCGCGGCGGTAATTCGGCGTAGTAGTCTGGCAGTTCTCCGTGAGATAGCAGCACGCTCGCGCATTTGGCGGGAGTTCAAATCAGGTTATTATGGTTCTACATTCATCATGCGCTGCTAATTTTATAGCTTTTTTTTATTTAATGTGGAACAATTATTATTGTTACGAAATTATTGTTATGATTATTGTTGTCATAGTTATAGTTATTGAAAGAAAGGAAATGAACTGGGGACAGTAAGAAATGGTGTGGTGTTGAATACATTTTAAATTTGAATACAAGTATAAAATATGTTGTAAATTTATCAAATACTATTTCTTAGTTTTATAATGATATAAGTACAAAACCAACATGTGTACAATCAATATAAATGATATGCCAGAGCCTTCCTGTCCCACGCAATGATTGGAAACGAGATACAGTTTAGTAGAAATATAAAATCTTTTAATACAATATATACATTTAAGGCATTAAATTATATTCGTTTCATGTGATAACGGGCAAATTTCATAATTTGACTAATATTTACAGATGTATTTTTGAACGAATTAGTCTGCTGGTATAAAAAATTGTTCTGTTTATAAAATAAAATTTTAAATGCCTAAAATTCAATTACATAATTTATAATTATAAAATCAAACTGTCATAACCTATCCAAACTATAAACTATAACGATAATGAAAAAATCGAATCAAAATGTTTGTGCTCCGGAGGTTTCGAACCGGTAACCTTTAGAACGTTTCTCCGGTGCGCTAACCACCAATGAATACAAACCACTACACCACCGAGACAAGATGTTATCAGTAGGGAAGGAAATCTCCTAAACCTCTAGGTCTATCACAGCATAGATAGCTACCCCCTCCCACCTTGGCCGACGTCTCGGCCGTACACACTGTAACCACGAGACACATTGCACTTGCCCCACCCCTACACCTTGTATTTATTATTTTCGCAAGTCACGTGATAATGTTGAAAAAACGCGCCAATTCCATCCCAGACATTATTGTGAACTGTGATGTTATGTTCTAGGCTAGCAATCTATTTGGTCTGCTGTGTCCACAAGTCCAGTGACGTTTAGAGTTCCCTAGTAATAATTCGTAGTGCTACTTACTTACAAATGTAGAAAGTCATTTCGTGTGCTTCTTTTTATTTACAGGTGTGGTATTATAGGAAATAAAAAACGACCGTTGCGAAGAAAGGCGAAAAACAGAGGTGGTGAAAGGTTGGCTGAGTGGAGAGTATTGAGAGATTTTAGTAAGTAGTGATGTTGAGGAGCTGATTGCTGATGAGGCGATGAGCTGTGGGGAAGAGGATGGAAATTTGTTACCTCTTAAAGGCCCGGCGCATATTGAGACGCAGTCGGAGCAGCGCAGCGTAGTGCCGCGCAGGGCAGTGTTTTGTAAACCACATGTTCGCTAGGAAACGCGCATATTATGGCGCAGCGCAGGGCAGGGCAGTGCAGTCCCGCACGTGGACTGCGCGCACTTGTGGTCGAGTCACAAGTGTCTGTGCCGCATTGCTCACCTGCGCCGGGTTTACGCTTTACTAGTGTTTTGTGACGGATCTAGAGGATAATTAATAGAATGTGTGCATTTTTATCCAGTTTTTACGTTACCAGTCATAGTAAGTGTATAAATAGTAATTACAAGAATGAAATCTGGGAGAAAATACGAAAAACACTAAACATTGCAATTTTTTTCGCCCTTTCTTTCTTCTTCTCTTTTGAAGAAGTAGGCCTAACAATCAATCTAGATCAGCACCAGAATCTGACTCAAAACTCAAATCCTAATATTTTACAACATACAACAATACACAATAAACTGTATCACTTCTATACGAGAACTGCACGACACTGCTTCCCAATTTGCGATGTCAACTGTGCAACACAGACTTTTTGCCCAATTCCGCCCTGTGCTGTGCTGCACTGCCACACAGCTCAATACAATATGCGCCTGGGCTTTGTAGACAATTCCACGCTATCATCTGATCCTACTGACTGTTTGGGCAACTGTGATATTACCGGTCGTAGAATAGTTGACATTTGTTATTTAGTTGATCAATTTGTCCAACTAAACACGCGCCTCAATTCGGCTGTTCCCTCAGAAACCTGAAATTAGTTAGTGAAATAAAAAGAGGGCTTAGGAGTGGGTTTGTGTTTGATTGCAACATGTGCCACATCAAACAGACAATATGGAGTGAGCCTGAACCTCGGGGAAATGCAATGTCAATGGACATAAACAGTGCAGCAGTAGCCGGTTCTACATTATTACCAATGGTGGAGGATTTGTCGCCTTAGAACGGCTGCTGTCTGCAATGAATGTTCGTGCCATGAACCGGAAAACGTATGACAAACATGAACTAATTTCAAAAGGTTGGGAGGAAACTTGCCATTTGGACACCAAAAGGTCTAAAAACTGTAAAAATTGATCGGGACGATGACTTTTGGGTAGTAAACATGAAAGAAAAACTTGAAACCTTTTATGTGAAATGTTTACTTCCTGAACTTGTAAACTCACCTCACAATATTCATTTAGGCTAGGCCTATTCTATAAATGTTTAAAGTTAATAAGTTAACAAAGTTGAATAAAAATAAGTTAATAAGTTAAAAAAAATATACGAATTACAAAAGGTGTTTTATTGAAACAAATGAACAAACATGCAATGACATTTAAAAGGCTTAACGTTATAATGAAAGGACTGACAATGGAGTGTGGGGGTTGAAATTAAAATGAAATAGAAGATAAGTTTTATAAGAAATTTTAAGTATTATAAGAAATGTTGATGTCCCAAGTAGCAGAAAAACGAGAAAAAATTGTTTTAATATTAATTTTAAACTTAAATTAAAACTGTTATTAATATGAGTACAGTTGACAACCGGCAAAATTTAAAATATTTCAAAATTTGTTTTACAACTGTTTAACCTCTCTGCTTATTTAACTAATATTTAACCATATGATTTTATTTACTTTTCTATAGTAATATTATTCTTGTATTAGTGTCTTGATTAAAACAGTTTAGTTTCTTTTGATCTTTTAATTTCTTATTTAAATAAGAAATAGAACATGGCGCAGTCGAATGAAGAACCCGTATCCCTAAACATTAAGCCTCCTGAAGCCTTTTCCTTCAACCCTCAGGACTGGAAGACATGGAAGACTCGTTTTGAGAGGTATTATTCCCTTAGTAATTTAGCTCTACATTCTGGAAAGCATCAGATTGACATGCTTATCTACTGTATGGGAGAAAAGGGAGAGGACATACTTAATTCATTCAGTTTAAATGACAATGACAAATCTAATTTCAAAGCTGTTATACAGAAGTTTGACGATCATTTCCTTCCTAAAAAGAACTTAATTTTTGAACGGGCTAGGTTTCTAAAACTTACACAAGGTTCCATGCCGATTGAGAACTTTATCACAGACCTTCACAATCATGCAAAAAACTGTGATTGGGGTCAAATTGAAGAGGAGATGATTCTGATGGGTTTGATTATTGGTATGCGGGACGAAACACTAAGTGATCGTCTTCAACTTGAACCCGAATTAAAACTAAACACAGCTATAAACACTATCCGTAGATCTGAAGAACTATCAAGACAGAAACAAACTCTTAACTTGACTGACATAGCATTAATAAATAAAATCATATGGTTAAATATTAGTTAAATAAGCAGAGAGGTTAAACATCTTTCCCTTTGGGTTTCTTTTCAGATGACTATTTCTTAGAAGAAGTACTTACCAAACTTGAAGGTGCTGGCTTCACCCTAAACAAAGACAAATGCTTGTTCTCTCAAACCTCGCTAACCTACTTAGGTCACCATTTATCTGAATCAGGAATCAAAGTCGATGAGACCAAAGTCGAAGCTATACGAAAAATGGCTCCTCCAACAGATATTTTAGGAGTTCAAAGGTTACTTGGTATGGTGAACTTCATTGGCAAATACATACCTAATAAAAGCCGGTTACTAAAACCCATTACTGACCTACTAAGTAGAAAAAACGAATGGTGTTGGGGTTGTGAACAACAAAAAGCATTCGATGAATTGAAAGAATTATTGGCTTCTCCACCTCAACTTGCATTCTATGATAAAAATAAACCGACTATGATTTCTGCTGACTCTTCTACACAAGGCCTGGGTGGAGTACTTTTACAACAACAATCAGATGGGAATTGGAAGCCTATTTCTTATATTTCACGCACTCTGAGCGAAACTGAACGAAACTACTCTAACATTGAACGAGAAGCTCTATCATTAACATGGAGCTGTGACAAGTTTA